TTGATGTATGTACGTGCGTGGCGATCGCCGAGAAATTCGAATCAATAAAATCGGCAAGTTTGTAGAAAATAAAGCAATGCTTAGCAAAAACGCCACTTCAAAGCGACAAGCACATTGCGGTTTGATTCTTTGTGCGCTTACATACGTTACTTTTATAAAATTTTCGTCTGAAGGCTCGAGTAGAAAAGACATGTTTTTACGACAAGTCTTAATTAAAGGGAGTTATTTCACTGTGGACACATAAAAAGAAGTTTCGACCGTTTTAATTAAGACGAAACGAACGCTGTATAATTACCGTGACGAGATTTGAATTAGTGAATACGTTCATAATGAATTTATTTTGATCGTAATTTCTGCCAAATGCGATTATTATTCTTTAGAAATCTCCAGAGCCCATTAAAACAATTCGTAAACACCGCGACGGAAAAACGGACTCGGAATATTAAAGTGACCGAGTTTTAGAAGACTCGGACGATTTGCACGCCTTGGGAAACTTTCGCTTTGTTTTGGTTATTAAATATTTGCGGTTGTCGCAGGGAATGGAAAAGTTCTGGACGTTCTGGGTGTTGCTCGTTGGGGTTGGAACGAGTTGGACGAAGTGGAACCGATTTAGGAGAGTTCCCAAAGCTCAGACGGGGTTGGGCTCCAATAAATATTAATAAACAGACGCATTAAACCCATTCCCATGAATATTTAAATTGAGTTCAGTTCTCGCCAGATAATATGGCATCGATTCGCTTTAAAGACAACAAAGATGTTTTCTTTTCTCATTAGACGTTCGCGGATCAAAACTGGCTCACTTTGTGAATCGGAAAGAACGCTGCATGTTGTTTGTTTCGTTTGTAGTCGGCGAAAATGGCAAAAAAAAACAAACGTGTAGGAGGACGGAGAATCGTCGAGAGCGTTCCGAACAGAAAACGCATCAAACAGAATATTCGTGACGGAAACATTTTCATCACACGAGATAAAAAGATCGATCGAAGATGATCTACATACGTAATTCTGAGGATGACAAATTTTCCGCTCGACTTTTTTTAATACTTCAGAGATGGAGTCACGATCGTCGATTTAATATTTCAATCAATTTTAGTTGTAAGGTAATCTAGTTACTTACAAACGTGCTTTTTATGGAATCATTTTTGCACGAATCGATCTAAAACTTCCGAAACAATTCCCTTTATTTTCTTCAATCGTTTCTCTGAACTCCAAAATGAGGCGTCTTTACGTTGGAAAAGTTGTTTTTATATTACCAAAATTGAGTTTTGGTATGAACTCGCTTCTTATTGTGTTCCCCCGGGAACTAAGTTGACCTGACGGCTATCTGCCCAAACTTTTTTATTGCCGTTTTATTAAATTTGTATTGATTTTGTAAAGTTATTCGTGTGACCGTGGATCGTACAATGTTAAGTTTATTTTGTTGAAAGATGGAGGAAATTGGGTCTGGAGTCTAATCAACCCTAAAACTTCTAAGACCGAGGGCCACTTTGTTTCCTCACAAAACAAGGTCGCCATTTCTTTAATTGTTTCGTCGAGTTTTTTTCTGCCTCGAGGCAAAGTTGCACATTTTTCTTTTTCCGGAAGTTGGAACGAACCGGCTTCAAACAATAACAACAAGATTGTTGTTTCCCAGATGGGCTTGGTGGAAATACGTTTGTAGCTTTCGAAAGTTTGGCTGCATATTATTAACTGTTCTCAACATTAATTATTCATAAACAAGATTCCAACTTTGTTAGGTTAAACTGTTGCAATTTAATTACTCTGTTTCTGAAATCTTGCTCTCCTGAATGCTCTAAAATGATCTGATTCGATTCGTTTCTGCTCGACGGGGTTTGGATAATGTATGTAAATATTATACGGGGCGTTTCACTGAATTGGTGACCAAATTACTCGAGGAAACAAAATGCTCGCAATTCAGTTGCCACATAAACTGTTCGATGATCAAATCTTGAGAGACCGATGGGTAGCTAACTTATAAAGTTGCCATGTACGCCAAAGTTTCCTCCCCGAAGTCCAGCAGGCGTTAATTAACAATCCCGCTAAACTTTAAAATTAATTACACATTATCGACCTTTTACTAGAAAATCTCGTTAACTCCTATCAGAGTTTTAATTATTTTTTCAATCAACTTATCCAAAACCTAGTTACCAGTCGTGTATTAAAGCACAAAGAATACAAAAAGCGTGACAATCATACTCAACCCGCGTAGGAATAGCCCGAAGTCCGCACACTTTTCCACGATCCCTAATGACGTACGACACGACAATAGCGTGACTTGATCATTACTTTGAAAATATCCTCTGTTTGTGAAACGCATTTTCGTTCTCCTGGAAGTGGGCCCGCGGCTTTTTTAACTCGAAAAATCCTCCACAAAGCGAAAGAGTTAAATCAGAAGAGGGATATGATTCAGACACGAAAATTACAAAGAGTGCGTACCTTCTGAAGCCTCAAATAAAAATTCTAGTTTGAAAAGGAAAAACGGAGATAACCGTAAATTGTAGACGGGAATAGCCATCGGCGATATGGGTCACAATTTCAAAGCGGGAGGAGCACTTGGGCAAAAAATGTACTGTCACGACGCGCCGTTTATGAAAAACGCAAAACGATTTGCTAAAGAGTGTGTTCACTTTAAAGATTTAATAAAAGCGATTTGACATCCCACCGACTGCGCCGTTTGTCAGGAATGCTTCAGGCTTAACAGCTGCAAAAGTCGTAAAGGTGGTTTTTTTAAAAGGTAGTTGTCAGTGCGGGGTGTAAATAATACAATGGTAGTTTCTATATACAGAAAGTTTGCTGTGGAACTGCACCAGGAGGAGAAAGCGTATTGTATTAATTCTCCAGTAGTTTGCCGCATATCCAAGAGTTTCAGTAGCAATAATTACTGCATCTGAGTTTGTTCCTTTGAGAAATATTAACGTGACGTGGGGATTGGGGAATTAAAACGTCATACTGTATACGGATACATTTTTGACGAATAATAAATGCGATACCTCTATCACGATCTGCGCTGTTTGTAGTCTGTGACGCCGGAGGCAGAGCAGTCGTGCGCGTCGAAACTTTTTTTTGTAATTAAAATAGGTAGCACCGGCTTTTTCCGCCTGCTGCCAGAATTTTTGTTTATACTTTACTATACAACAATTTGTTTTTTGAATGAATTTAGACCATCCAGTCTAGTCTTCATATCCCGCCTTTGTCCTATCCAAACAAAGGAGGGACGCATTTAATAAAGCGCCTTAACGTTCGACGTCATAATGCAATTTTCGTGCATCGATCTCGGTTGATGTAAATCTAGAATCTAGACATTTACTTTGTAAAGTAAATACGAAACGAAACAGGAACGGTGATTATAAAGAGGTTTCCTTAAAGGAAACTGCTCGAGCGCAAATCGGTCCGATAAAAAAGGATAATCTCTGGATCAAATCGCAACATTTGGCGGTGGAAGACGTCGTATCTGGTGTACGGATCGTCCAGCAAAACTGACGAGAATTGCTGGTTTTAGGGCTAACTCTCGCTTTGCGGACTGTTGAGGACATCGTCAAGGGATGGACTAAAGACGCCATTTCCTTACTTTATGGCTTGTGGTTGGAAGTATGTTACCATGAATGTCACTGTCTTCCACTTCCAAGTGTTTAATTTTACATCCTACCGACTGCGCCATTTGTTATTCATGCTAGCGTAAACTGGGTTATTTTCAGTTTGAAGCGCGCAGTTAGTTATTTTATGGATTTTACAGCAGTATGTCTTCTTCAGACGAGTCTTTCAATTTTAAAAATACACACCCAGATATAAATAGTGCACGTCCCGAGCTCTCCGTCGAACGTTCGATTTGTCCGCTTAAAATTCACGAATGTGTCTGCTCTTTAATCAGTGCACAGTTGTTATTTGGTTAATTAATCTTAATTTCTCAGCACTAAAACAACAAATTGCTGCGAAAACGCTAAATAAATGAAAAATAAACGTCTTTCGAGTAATTACCGAAGCGGTTCCCTGCGGACTCGACGAACCTCCTCTCGGCAACATATTTTTCGTGGAGAGATCCCCCGAGACTATGGAAATTTTTATTATTTTCGACGAACAAACCGGCCACGAACCGTTTATGTTTGTTCCTCTGTATCCCCGTGCTCGGGGTAACTTTATTAAGCGGGGATTGTGGACTCGGGGCGATTTTTAGCTATCTAGGGCTTAGTCGGAACCGTCGCCGAAGGCGTGTATTTCTGATTCGACCGAAACAGTACCGGAGCTTAGCCCTCTCGTGAGCGAAACGACGTCCCAAACTTGTCATAAATTGGATAGAGGCTTCAATTTTATTTGCATGGGGAAGTTTGGAGACGTAATTGTGCGAAGCACAACACTGTCTGACGAGTGACGCGCCTCCAACTTAATCGCTGTCTTCAGTTGCCAAATTTGTAGCGGAACGATGAGATGGATGGAGAATGGGAGGGCTGTAATAATATGGGAAAGAATAATCGGGGGAAAGACACGCGCTCGTTTCTCAAGCCGGTTTAATTAGGAGCGAAAGTGGCGCATCGACGAGAAGCGAACACGGTTAAAGACAATATAGAACAGAAAAGGTAAATAGTTATTCTCGCAACGTGAAAACTTTTTCCCGTGCGTTGCAACGAAGTTAAAAAATGGGCTTGATTATTCGCAAACTTTAAAAAGCGGGCTTACCGCGAAAAACACATCCCACGATGAGTGTAAAACCCGGTTTTAAACAACTTGATTTATGTGAAGCTCTCACGCGATTATATCCATTTTTGGCAGGAAACTTTTATGCGAACTCGATAGAAATTTTTTACGATTATTCCGCTGATCCAACTTTTCGAGTGGTCCATATATTACAGATGTGACGCACGAGTTTTAAAAATGCTCATACATAAAAAATGAAGACCATATAATCCAGCTGCTGACATAATGACACATTGAAGATGCTTAATCCATTCATGATGAAACGTTACTACTAAGCTTTGAAACTAATTGAAAAATACACTTGGCAGGAAACATAAATATAATATGAAAGTTTAGTCCCTTCTTTGAAAAAAATTAAATACATTTTCAGTTTAAATTCTTCATATAACAAGTAATATAGAGGTTTCATCAGCATAACTATTTAACGGTCCTAAAATTAAAAACATTGGAACAATTCATATTATTTTAAATATCTCCCTAATTACCTTTATAAGTGAAATTTTTCCAGGGCATTTTTAACAGTCCATAATTTTGGTGTTTGTATGGGCGACTCAAAATCCATCCGGCTGCATCTGCACCAAACGAGGTACTCTATGTTGATAGATTTCGGTGGTTCTATCCATTCAGATACGATCATGGTATCTGCAGGCGAATATTTATTAATCCGATTGACAATCACTTTCCTGTTGGGAGGTCATCCCCGTTTTCAAAAGTATATTTCACAATGAAGTAGCATCCTTGTCTTTTTCTCACATATGTGACATCTTTTACCGAAAAATGTTTTGGTAATATTCGCACAAACGGGGCTTTTTTAGCATTCTCCTCCTCCCAAGTGCAATCAACCACAAAATCATCTGAAGCGTGTAAGGTGATAAAAATTTGTAGGTAAGCAGAGAAAAATGTCATGCCTCGGTGGGAATCGAACCCACGTCTCTTTGCTTTCCGGGCAAGTATCTTTACCACTGGACCACGAAGCCACTTATCTTTCTCTGCTTACCGACGTGTTATTGTGCCGCCACAAAGCGAATTTTAACTTTTAATTAAGAAGACTGTTAAAATACCAAGGGAAAAAGACGAATTTTAAGTGTTTTTAAATGGTAACTTTTTTTGCCCGAAACCGTATTCACGTTTGATAAAACAGGATATATTTCTTAAAATTTTGACTTTTTTAAAAAAGGGTGACTTCGAAAACCCGGGCAAATTTTTTTAAAATTTTAACTTTTCAAAAGTTATCTTGAAAACCAGGCTAAAAGCATTAAAAACGTATTGTGTTCTAAAGGGGCCTTACTAGTAGTAACGTTCACTTGAAAAATTTTATTTTATTGTTAGGTTCCAGACTCGATCTACCTCCGCTCGAAAAGTCCGACGTAATTATTAAATTATTTGGATTTTCGTGGGTTGGTCGAAAAAACTTTCCGCCGTCTGCGACACGACCAGTTCGCCGAGTACACACAAAACATTTGATTTATTTATGTCAATATCGCGCGATTTTATTCGTTTTGACGTTATTGTATTTGTTCAGGTGTAGTTTCGCTTGGAGAAAAAACGGGAAATCCCTGGGTCGAAAGTTGAGAGGCGTTGGGAATTTTAGGTTCGACGTAGTGGTGCAGACGGTTTCCTTTAAAGTAAAAACTCTGTCGCTGACGTAGACAGTAGGAAGAAATTGCCGGTTTCGTCACCGGAACGTGGCTCTCCGATTGGTTATTGCAGTTCGCGGCATTTTTAAATTCGTTACTACTTTTTCGGTGTTACATTCAACGCAATGAGTGTATTTGCCCGAGTTATTTTTTGGTCGCTCGCACATTTGCATCGGTTTGTATAGGTAAATGAATTAACAAAGCACAGTTGTCTGCTAAATCAATGTTTGTGTAATTCGTTTGCAGCAATTATTTAATTCGGGTAAAAATAGCGAACAATAATCAAATCAAATAAATAAATCCCTGCAGGTGTTGTACGTCGATCAATTTCCGGGAAATCGCTGATCCCGGCCCGTTTTTTCCAGGTGTGCATTGTTCAGAAAAAGGATTCGAAACAGATGTTCGCCATGAAATACATGAACAAACACCAATGCATGGAACGCGACGCCCTTAAAAATGTGCTCAGAGAGGTGGAAATCCTGACGAGATTAGAACATCCCTTTCTCGTCAATATTTGGTTTTCATTTCAAGGTTAGTATAAGCAATTGATACCGACTTTCCGATAACCAATTTTGTCTCCGAAGACGAAGAAGATCTTTTCATGGTGACGGATCTCCTGCTGGGAGGCGACCTGCGCTATCACATCCAGCAAGAAGTGAACTTTTCAGAGGACGCCGTCAAGCTGATGGTGTGCGAGCTGGCGCTGGCTCTCGACTATCTTCAGTCCAAGCACATAGTGCACAGGTCGGTAGAGGGTTTTAATTAGGTCTGCGGCGTCTACATCGATCATTGTCAGCTGGAAAAACAAATCTCGCGTCGGCAAATAAAGGGAAAAATAATTTCGTCGGAATTGAGTTGCTTGTAATTAGGGATCAGATTAAAGGATTAACTCGATAATGGAGGAAAAACTCAACAGTTTTCGAGTTTGTAGGAGCGAATCTGCCTCGAACGACACGGTCACATTCTCGAGTCGAGTAATGAACTTGTGTAAACTTCTGCGTCCTGAATTAGGTCTAGCGATGGTATTTATCCCGGAGGTAATGTTTAGAAACGTGGCCGGTTTTTTATAGGAACGTGTACTTTACGTGCTTTGCCATAGCAATGAATTATTTATTTACATTTACCGCGGCGGTCAGCAAGCAATTATCCGCTAGGGAATTGAGAGATTGTTTCCTTTTCGCGTCTGACGTCTGGGATGAAAAGGAGTGTTTTATACTCGTACGAGTACGCGCTACTCTGTCGTCTTGATTACAACTCTCGTGCTTTGATGTGAAAATCTGAAAGAAAATCATCTTCGATGAAAATAAGACAGGATATGAAATCTTTCCTCTCGAGAGTATGCGAGTCTTTCATTTGTTAACTAATCCGTCTATTGAAACCCCGGACACAATAACGATCCTTTGTTTGCCGTCAAAAAATAAAAGATATTCTCTTCATTCGTTTTTTCAAACCAAATAGCTACTGATTCTAAAGGGAAACGATTTCTTTGACTTATTTGAGCAATTTCTATCATTTCAGATTTATTATTTTGAAATTGCATTGATACCGTCTCCGGTTTCTTAAATTAGCGCTCTTTGTATCTCTTCTCCCGGAGTTTTTTCATCAGTACGTTCCGCGTTCTCATAATACGGTAGCGTTGGCAACGACGTGAACTATAAATAAAACGAAACTTATATATGGACGCAGAAAGGGCAGTCTCGTGAAAGTAAGTATACACCGGACGCACTAATACTCTAACTAACTTAGTCCTATTGAAAACTTAACACCAACTCGAACTTCTCCACTAAATCGTTCCCAGCTTCAAACAATCGATTCTTTTGATTAAAAATTCCACAACTCCTAAGCGAAACCTAAAACCCCCTCTCGAGACAACAATCTAACTAAGTGGAATAAAACAGACAACCGAGGCGCGGATTTAATAATTCAGGCAAGAAAAAGAACTTGGTCGAAAACGAAATCCCAGCACAATTCGCAGGTCATATAACTCGGTTCGAAACTTAACCAGACCAATTTCATTTTCTGCTTCTCCAGGGTAATAATTAAAGGTCTGACTCTGGGAAACCGTTATATCGTTCACCGCATTTCACCTAAATCGCAGATTTTTATTTCAAATGTCAATCGTTAAACGGAACGACGCGATTTCGATCTTTTCTTTTCATTTTATGGTAATGCGAACGTTATTTTTGCAGGGACATAAAGCCGGATAACATATTGCTGGACGAAGAAGGTAAGAAGCGCATGTGTTAAAACCAGGAGATGTAAATTAATTTATGATGATTCAGTAAACCTCGCAATCATGCCGTGAATTTCGCGTCTTGGCTTTAATACAGAAAATCCTTAGTATAGTGCACAACTCCATTAACTGAAGAGGTGGGCTGAAATCAAATTAAAAATTTATTTACGAGAGTGGATATGAGAATCAAATCAAACGCCAATTTTAAACAACCAACTAAAAATTAGCCGCTCACAATACGTTATTTAGTTACAAAATTAGAGAATTAGTATTGTGGCTTAACTTGTGCGTGCTGGGTTAATTCTGTTTTCTGTGACAAAGGGCACTTCCACATCACCGACTTCAACATAGCCACAGTCCTCGAGGACTCACACTTGGCGACCTCTATGTCAGGAACTAAGCCCTACATAGCCCCCGAAATCTTCGACTGCGCCATGGACCTGTGCGTCGGCTATTCTTATCCCGTCGACTGGTGGTCTTTAGGTAACAAATTTTTTTTGAAACGACAGCACGCTGACGACGGTTTCAGGCGTGGTGGCTTACGAGATGCTGAAAGGAGTCCGCCCGTTCGACATCCATTCCAACACCAGCATCCAAGAAGTCAGGATCTTATTTCAAATTGGATTAGATTACCCACAGAATTGGAGCGAAGGGATAATTGATTTAATTTCTAGGGTAAACGTTATTTCCATCCGAATCATAGTTTGGCTCAATGGAATTATTTCAGTTGCTTTGTATTAGTCCGGGCTTGAGGGTTTCAAACATACAAGAACTCAAACAAGTCAAGTGCCTCAAGAAGTTCGACATGGATCGGGTGTTCCAGAGACAGTACAAGCCGTACTTTATGCCTCCCGTAAGCCGCGTAAACTGAATGGTTTTTGTTTTAATCGTTTGTTGTAGAAAGATCATTTGAATTGCGATCCGACTTTCGAGCTCGAAGAGATGATTATCGAAACGAAGCCGCTGCACAAGAAGAAGAAGAGGTTGGCGAAGCAGAGGTCGATCAGGGAGATCCAGGGACCGATGAGCATTGAATTGGTGGGTTTGGCTCCCGTAATAAGACGCTTATCTACCTTCCGAGTGGCCGCAAGCGTCGCTAAGCTATTATGAATCGTAGAGTTTGCGGTCGAGGGGTGTAATAAGGATTTGACGGCGGCTAGACCTTTCGTATTTATGAGGGGAAGGGGTTGTTTACCGTTGCTTTTCGCATTTTCAGGACGCGGATTCCCCGATGGAGCATCCCGGGAGCATAATTCCCGACTTTAAAGTATACAACAGGTATCAAGAGCTGGAGCGCAGGGAGCGCGAACGGAAGGAGCAAGCCTGGGAGAAAGAGCTGGAATTGGCGATGAGGTCGTCTGATCCTTTAAAAGAAGAAACCGAACCTCGCGAAAAGATCCACAAGTGTACCGGTTGTCCCAAACTTGAAGCAACAATCATCAATCCCAAGTGTCAAACAAACACTGACGGTAGTAATAATAAAAGTCAATTACCGCTACCAGAAACGGAAGGGTCGTCCGTTAACGACATCCACAACAAGCTCCAAAACATAGACTTCATTGACAGAACTCCTTCACCGGTAGACCGAACCGATGGCACCTGAGCATTTTTTTATCAAAGTCGCGATGTACCAAAATATATTTTTTTTAATAAAAAAACTAACTGGAAAAAAATTATATTCTCCAACAAATTACAAATAGGTTACATCAAACATTAAAGCCCATTTATAAAAAATTAGTCTTCTAAAGATCACCTTTTTACACAATACAGGAACTGAAAACTTGTACTCAATGGCAAACTCTGAATAACACTAAAAAAGGCAAAGTACTACTAAGGCAAGTAATGGAAGCCAGAGAAGACGAATCGCTCGATCTTAAACGGCAGTTACGTCGGTCGTCTCGATTCGAGTGATCGGTTCCATAACTTTAACGCTCAGATTGTTCGAGGATTCGGAATTCAGCTTCAGCGTCTGGAGTATCTCGATCACGTTGTCGACGGCGAACGGTTTCTCTTCCACCTCTTTACTCACCGGTTTGACGTAGTGCAAATAACAGAACCCCTTGTATCCGCGCCATGTGATGTTATTAGGCTTAATCCCGTGGTCGATTAGGGCGTCTTTCAAGTGACGCACGCGCACGTTCTTGTCGATGTTGCTCACGACTAGAGAAAAATCAACTTGCAATCGACGCGAATTACGACGGAAAGTCCTGGGCCTCTTTTTCAGCGTTTGCGAGACGTCGTTTTCTTTGTTGCCCTGAAATCATCGACATAACACGAATACAACAAAAATCCAAAGTTACTAACGGGATCTTCGTTTTCTTTCGTCACTTGCGCCGATCTAGATCTTTTAAAGAAACGTCTTCTCCGCGGTTTCGTATTGTTGGTACTATCTGTAATCGCGTCTTCTGGCACTATTCTCTCGGATTTTGGTCTAGGTGGAGGATACCGCTTTATCTTCGGCAATCGCCGTTTGTCTTCGGTTTCGGCGTCGGTATCGACCTCTTTCAAAGCGATATCTTTACCCTCACTTCAACAAAGTATTTTTTGTAATTACAAAAAACGCCCTTGATACGAAAATTTACCTGGATTGAGCGTCTCTAATTTTTTGTAAAATCGGCATTTCGTTCAATTGCCTTTGAGAAAGCAAATCCCAATAGATCCCCTCTGGTCTTGGCAGTTTTTTCTCGATTTTAATGATTTGTGTTGGCGTCAAAATATAATCAATAGGCACGTCATGTTTTTGAAAAATGTCATTTGGAAGAGTATCAAAGACCTGAAACGTTAAAATAAAAAACCTACTTGTACGCAACACATAACAGACTTGTGCGTCATGAACTGTCGTCACGATTGTCGTGTTGTCGTCGACAGCTTTCATTTCCTTAAGAACGGCATACTCCAGATCGGCGAATCCTTTACCTTTGCCGATCCTGCGGCCATCCCTTGACACCGCCACGCTCCCTAACACGAGCAAGTCGATGCTTAACTCATCCCCGAACTCTACGTTTTTCCCCAGGGTTTCTATCCCCCATCTAGTCACAGTCTGTTTGATGTTCTTGGGCTTGTCGTCGTTGCAAAACGACAGTTTTTTCAAAAGTCCCTCCTGAAGCTGCGGGACAGGCACATAAAGAATCTTGTCGTTCTCGACGACGAGGGCCCTCGACGCCTCCAGAGGCTTGTCGGGGTTCACCTCGACGGATTTGGCGGTTTTGAACTCTTCGAGCTCCAGAAGCTTAGTCGCCGCTTTTTCGGCCCCCTTGAAATTAGGAATACGCCCGAAGACGGGTCGAGGGAAATTGACCAATTTATTCTTTTCGAGATATTCCCACACTTTTTTACGAAAAGATTGCTTTGAACTGTTTTCAACTGAGGAAAATTGCGGTTTTTTTTTCTCATAACCAAAATGACGAAAGTGCTTACCGTCGCTTTCCGGTTGTTGATTCTCGGTTTTCGCCTCGGGGATGTTTTCCTCGCTGCTCATTTTCGGTGTTTCATTCAGAAATGTTATCACAAATTCACTATCGCGCAAATAAATGCCCACTTTCGAAGTGTTTATCTTTTTCTTGGTTACCGAGCCATTTTGACGTTTCGCACAAGGTCACATGTGCAGATGCTGGAGACAGGGGCGGCGCTGCAGGGAATGCGTGGGCAACGCCTCCCTACCCTAACAAAAAATTTATTGTCGCTGCGGGCTCTTCATTTAGAATGCACAATTCTAATTTTCTAGTTTTTTTTTTAATTCCTTCATAAAAAATATAAATGACGTCATAACTAACCAAAAAAAAAATTGTTTTATTAACAAACTTCATGCTACTTTTGAAGACAGGAGAATTAACACCAAAATAAACCACCCCTAGCGTTAAATAATCGTTTTATTACTTATTTTGCTTAAATTACTCATCACGTTAAAAACTGAGTATTCACCTTAGAGGTATTAGCACAACCTATACTATCTCATTTGAACAAAATTTTACAAAACATGTACATGAAACACAGCTAATCACAGGCCGTTCTTGACAACCATTGAGTTAACGAATAGTCTGGGACATGTGCAACGGAGTGAGCATTAATTCAAACGCTGCGTCCTTCAAGTTGGCACCCCTTAAATTAGCTTCGTGTAAATCACTGCCTGATAAATCACAGAACTAAAAATGTACCAGTTAGTATAAAAAAAAATATTGAAACACCCTAGCACCTCTAGGTCAGCTCCAGCAAGAACAGCGGCCCTCAAATCACAGTTCTGCAGATTGGCGTTTTTCAAAGTCGCCACTCTCAAATTAACGCCTCCCATGTCGCTGCCCTCTAGGTTTGCCCCTTTGAGGTTTACGCCCTCCATGTTTGCCCTGCCGCCGGCCGGGTCCTTGAAATTTGAGTTCTTCATGCTGACGCCTTCTAAATTGGCGCAGAGACACTTGACGCCTAAAAAAAGTAGCGTTACACATATTTTGAATTCAAGATTTATCTCTTTACCAAGTAGTTGCGCCCCGTCGAGGTTAGCGTACGACAGGTCGGCCCTCTCCAAACAACAATAGCTCAAATTTGAGCCGGTCAGTTTACAACCTTGTAAATTCGCGTATTTGAAATTGATGTAGCGCAGATCTAACTTGCTTAGATCTGAGCCTGATAAATTGACTCCTTGGAACCTCAATTCTGTGGTGTAGGCACTTCTGATTAAGGCGTCTATCACATCTCGTCGAGTTAAAGGTAAGTTATCCCTATTCACATTCTGCTGGTTTATTATCTGCTCTAGAGTGGGCACAATAGACTCAATACCAAAAAATCTCGCTTCTTCTAGAATCCCTTCCGGATTAATGTTATTATCATATATTAATTGACCATTTCTAAGATAGTTTATGATGGGTTCAAAATACAAGGGACTTCTGTCTATTAGGAAAGCGCCGTTTTTATCAATATTGCTCGGAGTGAACAGGTACCCGTCGTCGTCGCCTGCGAACATCCGCGCAAGCATGCTCTCAGGTTCTTTCGTGGTCAAGGTGCTTTTCGAAGTCGTGAAGTATTTTCCGCCGACGTTTAACGTCACCCACTCAGAGCATTTGATCCGTTTTGCTTCATCTTTCGGAGGAACTATAAAATCTTCGCCGCAGGATATGTACAGGTTGTCGTTATTGCGTATAAAAGAAATGTCGTGCACTTCTGTGCCATCTTCTATAAATATTCGTCTCACTTTTGTGTTGAACTTTAAATACGCTTGGCTCATCAGCTCTTCCAAGGTTCGCGGAACCACGAAAATCTAAAAAAAAAGTTATTAAAGTTCGTAGTTACAAAATCGCTTTAAATTACTTCGCCTTTTGTGTTTGTTCCATTTTTATAAAGAATCACCCGTTTTTCACTCATTTTAATTGGAAACGAAACAATCACAATAAATTTGCGGAATGTTAACTGCGAAATTTTGGCAAAACAACGTCGCAAAACGTCACACAGGTGTTTTTAGCGTGCGGAATTGGCACCCCTGGACGTAAAAAAATTGCAAAAAAAATCGAACTACGTGGGATTTTAATCTCGACATTTGCGCAAAATGCGCACAAATGATAGCTTTTGTAATTTTGTATAACGGGAAAAGAGCGCACTGCGTATTTTTAAGAGTTAAATACGAAATAACTCGTTGCACCTAGTGATTTTCATGCTCAATATTGGTGCTGCCGAATGTCGACAGGTGACAGGTGACAGCCACGGTTGGGGAAAATATCCCCTCCTCAGCACGGCCATTTTCAATGATAACAATTCCGTGTATTTTAATTTTACGTCATCGTTTTGTATAGTTTACGCAAGTTGTGTTAACACGTAAATAAAGTATATACAAAGTGTTTAAAAGTTCACAACACACACAGGCAAAATGGGTAAAGGTTTCAACAATTATATGTGCAAAAAATTCTTCCATCCAGCGTCGAGGGATAACCTGAAACGAGTATGGATGGCAGAACAGAAGGCCGATGCCTACAAAAAGAAACAAGAGGAGCTGCGGCAACAGTACGAAAAAGAACAAGACTTGCACGATAATAAAGCTATGCTTAGTAAAGAAAGCAAGGATAAGTTGAGTATAAACTTTATGTATGAGCCCCCGCCTGGTGCTCGGAAGGAACGAGAACGCGAAGACAACGAACCAGAATATAAGTTTGAGTGGCAAAGGAAGTATAATGCACCCCGCGAGAGTTACTGCAAAGGCGACCAAGAAATACGGGATCAGCCTTTTGGAATCCAAGTGAGGAACGTCCGGTGCATCAAGTGCCACAAGTGGGGACATATCAACACAGGTATGATCTTAATAAAATTCGCCAATGAGTTAAACTAGCTAACAGTGGTGTTGTTTCAGATAAGGAATGTCCAATGTATAGTCTCTCCACAAGTGTGGCAAGGTCATTGGAGTCTGCATCTATTATGGATCAAAAGTCGCTGGTTGAACAAATGAAAGAAGACGGTTTGGCCATCAAGAAGCAGTATTTGAACAATACAGGGACCGCGAATTACGATTACATTCCAAATGAAGAGGAAAACTCAGCTGTGTCTTTCATCAAATCCCTGTCGAAAAAACAGAAGAAAGCTCTTTTGAAGAAGTTGGAAAAATTAGAAAAAGGTGCGAAGAAAGAAAAGAAACGGCGAGATAGTTCCAGTTCTGAGGAAGATCGAAGACGGGATAGGAAGAAACACTCACGCAACGATGACGACGACGACAGGAGAAACAAAAAACGCAAATCTGACAGTTCAGATTACGAAAATCGTAAAAAGAGACGCTCATAATTGTATATTCTATTCTTAATTATCTGTGTATAACATGTATATTTTAGTAAATAATAAATGTGTTCTGAAACTTAACTTTTTAATTTACACATTTAAACCTCCCGCGCTAAGTAGATGGCGCCAGCGTTTGTGTCAATTTCGCAAGTCTGGTGTGCTCGGTTTATTTTCGGTGCCATCTTGTTTTCAGCAAGTTTGTGAAATTGAGTATTTTGATTGAGTAGTTGTCAGTGTTTTGGGAAGGCTTGCCCTAAAAAAAGCGCAACAAACACAGCAAATATCACCACAAAATGGAAAATATACCAAGAACTCATGAAGGTAATGCGTTAAAATCCATTCGAAATAGTTTAACTAACGTTGTGTTTTGTTTAGATATCGAAGCCCAAATCCGCGAAATTCAGTCAAAAAAGAAGGAAATTCCCGTGGAAAATAACGACAAGGGCGTGGGGTTAGGCGAGAGCGGCTTTTTCGACAGTGAGATTTATGACGGCGGCGGCGGTAAAGGGAAGTATGAAGGTTATGTGACTTCGATTGCTGCTAATGACGAAGTCGACGACGAAGACGAAGATGTGGGGTACTCACAGAAGAGAACAGGATTAGGAGCACCGGTTGCATTGCTTAACGATGTGGCTCAGGTACTTGCGTCTAATTCGTAGTTGTTCGGTGTTAATTTTGTTCGGTTGTAGAGCGATAAAGACTATGATCCGTTCGCTGACAAGCGGAGGCCCACGATCGCGGACAGGGAGGACGAGTATCGTAAGAGGAGGCGTGGGATGATTATTTCACCTGAGCGGGTTGATCCTTTTGCTGACGGTGAGTAGTGATTGCACGGTTTTTGTTTTCTGTATTATTTACTTGTTTATTGACTATATAAAACTTGAGACGATTTGTGTTACATGTTGCGTAGTCTCAAGGTTTATGTATTATTGGGGTATATGAAAGTGGCGTGATTGGTTGTTTGAATGAGGGTTTGAAGTAAAAAAAAATCTCTGGAACTGAAAAATGTAGGCATAAATTTACAATCAGTACAAAGAAACTAATTTTGTTCTGTATTGGATTCCAACATTTAGGGGTGTCTTCCTAAAGAAGGTTTCGCGGCGGTTTTAATGGATCACTACCGTTAAATAATGTTGGTAAACTGAATCTTACAAGAGTGAAAGAGTGTATGCAATGTATAGAAAATTATTAATTACCCCAGCCTATTTCTAGGTTCGATTTGACCAGTTGTTTTGCAAGAAACTGCCTGTTTTGTGATGGAGCACACTCACACGTACGTATCAAGATTTGTTGCCTGATTCACTCTAACTGTCATCCGCAACGAATACTTAATAATTCGAGTGAATTTCGGTAATCAAATCTTAAACACTTTATTCCTCAATAAAAGAACAGATACTAGATCAAAACTCATTATTCTTACAAACAAGTGCTTCCACTTACTAATTGGCGTTTTCAAACGCTGTTTATGTTTACAGGTGGGAAAACGCCGGACTTGAATGCCCGCGGATACACGCAGATTATGAAGGAGCAGATGCTCAAAGGAGAAGAACATGAGGTTAGTATAAAACATGTCACGAATTTTTACGTCAAATTTTCGGCAAAGGAGTCCTTTGTTAACTCAAGGTTGATTTCTTTGACCACCGTGTCTCTGTTTTAGCTGAGAAAGAAAATTCTGGAAAAGTCGAAAGACGGTTCTCTTAAATCCACAAACGGTGAGGTCAAGAGCGCTCCCAAGAAAAGAGGGCGCTGGGATCAGACCGTCGATGAAGTCGTCGTTCCAAACAAGAAGAAAACTCTTTCCGTTTCGACTAATAGTGGCGCCGTCACACCAGTTTGGGATGCTGATGTAAGTTCAAAACTCTCCGTTGTCTCACAAAATTAAAAACAATTAATTTCTTTAGAAAACTCCCGCCGACCACCGGTGGGACGAAACTCCCGGCCACAAAGGCAGCGAGACTCCCGGCGCGACGCCCGGCCAGTCCACTCGCATCTGGGACGCCACCCCCGGCGCCGCCACTCCCGGCCGTGAAACGCCCGCCCACGACAAAAGCGCCAGCCGCCGTAACCGCTGGGACGAAACGCCGAAGACCGAGCGCGAAACTCCGGGTCATTCTAGTGGTTGGGCCGAGACGCCGCGCACGGACCGCACCGGAGCCGATCTTATCCAAGAGACGCCCACTCCGGGTGCCTCGAAGCGCCGTTCCCGATGGGACGAAACTCCCTCCGTTCAGACGCCGTCCTCGTCGATGACACCCGGAGCGATGACGCCACAAACTCCTCATGGTACTCCGGGTCACGCTACGCCCATGCTCACACCAGGCGGTTCGACTCCGGTGGGCGTCAAAGCCATGGGCATGGCGACGCCGACGCCGGGACATCTGGCGTCCATGACGCCCGAACAACTGCAAGCGTACCGCTGGGAGAGGGAGATTGACGAGAGGAACAGGCCGTATTCGGACGAAGAGCTGGACGCGATGTTTCCGCCGGGGTACAAAATTCTGGCACCACCTGCCGGGTATATTCCGATTAGGACGCCGGCGAGGAAGTTGACGGCCACGCCGACGCCCATGGTGAACACACCGCAAGGGTTTTTCATACAAGCGGAGGACAAGACGGCCAAGTACATGGATAATCAACCCAAAGGGCAGAATTTGCCGTTCATGAAGCCAGAGGATGCGCAGTATTTCGATAAGTTGTTGGTGGACGTGGACGAGGAAGCGTTGAGTCCTGAGGAACAGAAGGAGAGGAAGATCATGAAGTTGTTGTTGAAGATTAAGAACGGGACTCCGCCGATGCGTAAAGCGGCTTTGAGGCAAATCACCGACAAGAGTAGGGAATTCGGGGCGGGGCCGCTCTTCAACCAGATCCTACCTCTGTTGATGAGTCCTACTCTCGAGGATCAAGAACGACACTTGTTGGTTAAAGTCATTGATCGAATCTTGTACAAACTCGACGATTTGGTGAGACCCTACGTGCACAAAATTCTCGTCGTTATCGAGCCTTTGCTCATCGACGAAGACTATTATGCTCGTGTTGAAGGCCGAGAGATCATTTCGAACTTGGCGAAAGCAGCTGGTTTAGCCACCATGATTTCCACAATGAGACCCGACATCGATAATATCGACGAGTACGTGCGAAACACCACAGCTCGTGCGTTCGCCGTCGTAGCTTCCGCTCTTGGAATTCCGTCGCTCTTGCCCTTCTTGAAGGCCGTCTGTCGTTCGAAGAAGTCGTGGCAAGCGAGACACACCGGTATCAAGATCGTCCAACAGATTGCGATCCTCATGGGTTGCGCCATCCTGCCCCATCTCAAGTCTTTGGTGGAAATCATCGAGCACGGGCTCGTCGACGAGCAGCAGAAAGTCCGGACCATCACGGCGTTGGGAATCGCGGCTTTGGCAGAAGCCGCCACTCCCTACGGTATCGAGAGTTTCGATTCGGTCCTTAAACCCTTATGGAAGGGTATTAGAACGCATCGTGGTAAAGGTTTAGCTGCATTCTTGAAAGCCATCGGGTATCTAATCCCGCTTATGGACGCCGAATACGCCAACTACTACACAAGGGAAGTCATGTTGATTTTAATCCGAGAGTTTCAGTCGCCGGACGAAGAAATGAAAAAGATCGTGTTGAAAGTGGTGAAGCAGTGTTGTTCGACGGACGGCGTGGAACCCCAGTACATCAAAGAAGAGATTCTTCCGCAGTTCTTCAAACACTTCTGGAATCACCGCATGGCTCTCGACAGACGCAACTACAGACAACTCGTGGACACGACGGTCGAAATCGCGAATAAAGTCGGCGCTTCGGAAATCATAAACCGCATCGTGGACGATCTCAAAGACGAAAACGAGCAGTACCGCAAAATGGTGATGGAAAGTATCGAGAAGATCATGGGGAACTTGGGAGCGGCCGACGTCGACTCCCGCCTGGAGGAACAATTGATCGACGGCATCCTCTACGCCTTCCAGGAACAAACAACTGAAGACGTCGTCATGTTGAACGGCTTCGGCACCATCGTCAACCAACTCGGCAAGCGAGTCAAAGCTTACTTGCCCCAAATCTGCGGCACGATTCTCTGGAGGCTCAACAACAAATCCGCCAAAGTGCGTCAGCAAGCCGCCGACCTCATCTCGAGAATCGCCGTCGTGATGAAAACTTGCCAAGAAGAGAAACTGATGGGTCACTTGGGTGTCGTACTCTACGAGTACCTCGGCGAAGAGTACCCCGAAGTGCTCGGCTCGATCCTCGGTGCCCTCAAAGCCATCGTCAACGTGATCGGCATGACGAAAATGACGCCGCCCATCAAAGACCTCCTTCCTCGATTGACCCCCATCTTGAAGAACCGCCACGAAAAAGTCCAAGAGAACTGTATAGATCTGGTGGGACGCATCGCCGACAGGGGGCCCGAGTACGTGTCCGCGCGCGAATGGATGCGCATCTGTTTCGAACTTCTCGAGTTGCTCAAAGCCCACAAGAAAGCCATCCGTCGAGCCACCGTCAACACGTTCGGGTACATCGCCAAAGCCATCGGTCCGCACGACGTCTTGGCCACGCTCTTGAACAACCTGAAGGTGCAAGAGCGACAAAACCGCGTCTGCACGACCGTCGCTATCGCGATCGTCGCCGAAACGTGTTCTCCGTTCACGGTTCTGCCGGCGCTCATGAACGAGTACAGGGTGCCGGAGCTGAACGTCCAGAACGGGGTGTTGAAGTCGCTGTCGTTCTTGTTCGAGTACATCGGGGAGATGGGGAAAGACTATATTTACGCGGTGGCGCCTCTGCTCGAGGACGCGTTGATGGACAGGGACTTGGTGCACAGGCAGACCGCATGTGCCGCGATAAAGCATATGGCGTTGGGGGTGTATGGGTTCGGTTGTGAGGATGCTTTGATTCATTTGTTGAATTACGTGTGGCCCAATATTTTTGAGACGTCGCCGCATTTGGTGCAGGCGTTCATGGATGCGATCGAGGGGATGAGGGTGGCGCTGGGGCCCATCAAGATTTTGCAGTACACTTTGCAGGTGGGTGTTTGTGTTTATGTTTTGGAATGGAAAATATAGTATATTATTAGACAAGGTTGCAGAGCCAAGCATTCTAGACCGAGCGCAAATTAGAACGAGACGCGCAGCGTCGAGGGCTCTGAAGCGCGAGGTCTAGAAGTGGCTTTGCAACCGTGGCTAATATACTATTTTTTTCACTAGTAGAAACCATAAGACAATAAACTGAAAAAATAAACGTTCAATTTTTTGACGCAACATGATTTTGTTTTGATTTCTAATCAAACTTAATCTAAATCTTCAACACAAAGAAAACCGTTTACACTTGTCGCTGAGTTAATCATTTTATCTTCTATCGTCTAGAGCAGCTTTCAAGACAAAAGGGTACAGGTGGTGGGAGTGCGCAGAACATTGTTTTGGTTTGGCCTTACAAATATCGTGCAAGCAGTGGCAGCGGCGATGAATATTTCGATTTTAAATATTAAAATATTATTGGGGTTAATAAAAATATCACTTTTCTATTTTATTAGCGTTGACATTATAGAAAAAGAATTTAAACAATTATTAGTGCTATATTTGATGTATGAGTTGAATAAAAAAGTAAGTAAAAGAAGTAAAAAGGTAATTTTTAGTGAGCAATAAGAACTGTTAAATTAGGGTACAGTCGAAGCTCTAGTTATAAACGACAATTATGCTAGAATATGAACTGTGATTATTACTTCGATGTTAAAGACAGAAAACGTTAAGCCTTATTATAATCCGACTTTACGGTATCGATAAATTGTGCCAGAAAATAAAAAAACATATAATTATAGTCATAGGTTGCTTATTCTCAGAGTTTTAAGCCAACTTTTATCTAAAGATTTAACTGTTGATTTAAGACTAGTCGACTATAAAATAGTATATGATACTGGTTTATAATGAGGGGTTCGTGAATTTTTTTACTCATGCTATAATCCCTCACATTATAAACTCGTTTAATAATTAAAAATACCAAATTTTGTGTGATAGATTATCATAATTTATTGTTACGTAAGTCTATTTTTTTAACAAACAAATTAATTTATTTTTATTAAATGGTTGTCTGTATTCTTTTGTAGAAATTGCTCTTTTTTTAATTGTTTTTGAAAGAAGTACAACTCAGCCGAGCCTCCCTTCTCAATGCATCGATGTTACGCCACTGATGGCCCGGCTACAAGTCGCGCAACTTAAGCCCCGCCCCTGTACCCTTTCGTGCTGAAAGCCGCTCTACCAACTACCATGCGTATACTCAAGTAATGTTTGTAGCACACATTTGTTCATTTTTTAAGAAATAATCACATCAAACATTGCGTACATAACCTCAATTTTTCTTTTTGAACCGGTGGTCGCAAAAGTTGAATTTGCTACCTCTAAATGAGTCGACATTTGCATGCTTGATGGCTGCTAGTGAAAAAAATTGTTTTGTTTCAGGGGTTATTCCATCCCGCGAGAAAGGTTCGTGACGTGTACTGGAAAATATACAACTCTTTGTATATTGGTGGTCAAGATGCGCTCGTTGCGGGTTATCCCAGGATTGCCAACGATCCCAAAAACCAGTACATCAGATATGAAATGGATTATGTTTTGTAAGCATGTGTTGTATTTTAAGTGTTAAGCTGCACTTTATTTTATTCATTGTGGTGGCAATAAATACCACTTTCGAGTCATAATTCCTTGCGTTAGATTTTATCACAGGGTGTTTTATGTTGTAATTTTATCCTGTGTTAGTGCTGCGTTTTGTACATGTATGAAGGAATCTAAATTATTCAGTTATATACTAAGGAGGTTAACAGAAGATAGAAATAATTATTGTAACTAAACAACAAATAAAGATACGAAATAAATTTCGGTTTATACTTGTACCAGTACCTTTTATTGCAACTTAAATAACAATCTAACGCCTCTTATTCTTCTTCTTTTGTCCTTTCTTCTGTTGATGTTGGGACTTGGCCCGTGGCGACGGTTCGACGACGGTGGGACTTTCAACCTCTTGCTCGTTAACTTTGCTCGAAAAATCGCTACAAACACACATTAGTAAGGGCCGGTTTATCAATGCGCAGTTAAGTTAAAGTAACTGGCAGTTAAAGCTTGTCTGTGAGTTAACCTGTTTATCATTACCCGCTAGCTCAAAACTGGTGGTCAAAGTGCCTGATTAATTAACTGACAGTTCAAACTGTCAGTTAAAACGTTATCCACCAGTTAGTGGCAACATAACTTCACAAATCCAAATAAATCTGTTATGAATTTAACAATATTTTGATGAGGACTTATGTTGTGCAACAAATTAACAGAGAAAAGATGAGAAAAACACTTATTATTAGCTGATTATTTTCCAAGTCTAATGTGGATACCAAAAATTAAAAACCTATCTAATAATACCGCGAGACAAGCGGTTTGTCGTAATCACGGTGTTAGGGTAATTTAATTTTTTTTATTAAATGTCAAATTGACAGTTTAGAGATTAGAATTATGACGCCTACTTTTAAAACACATAAGAATGAATTAAAATCACCGTTTTCCAATTTTGTCTAAAATTTATCCCATTTCTGAAGATTCTAATAACAAAAAAGCTTTAATTTCGTTTGATAACAGTGCAAATTACATTTGCCAACGTGACGATTAATCAAAAATTATTTTAAACTAAGACAAACGCCTTTTCGTGCATGGCCAACTTTGACTAATTTCTTTTTCGATCTCTCTGTATTTATTTATAGGTGTACCTACTTGTTTCATTTTTAATTTCCAATACTTTTTTTCTAATGCTAAATTTTGCTTTTTCATGATTGATCACGTGAAACGCGATATACAATCGTTGAATACCGAATGCGGATCAAATCTGACGGAACTTTCAAGGTCGTGGTAGTTTTGAACTGACCAATCACAACTCATTTCCAGTGGGGTGAGCGTTACCAACTTAAGAGAGTAACAGCTAAACTTCGAGCTACGAAACTGGAAGAAACATCGTGCATTGATAAACACTTTACCTCCGTTAACTGTTAGTTACCCTTATCTGACAGTTACTTAACAGACACTTTTAACTGAGTATTGATAAACCGGCCCTAAGTGGTTCAAACGTCACGCAAACTTACAATTGCTCAGCTTGTCCGGAAGCCGTTCCCTGCGAACCTTTAATAACCTCCTTGGCTCTGCGATCCCTCTTCTTTCTAAACCCGGCTCTTTCGTACTTCGGCAACCATCTTTCCGGATCTGGCGAGATGTTGGCGTTGTAATTCTTGGGTAACTTACCCTTGCGTTTGCGATGTTTCTTCTTCTTCTCGACACCACCTTCCGATTTCGGCGTTCTAGAAAAATCACGTCAGGACTGACTACGCACAAAAACCACGCTTACCCCGGTTGTGAGTCTTGTTTAGTGGCAGGACTTTTTTTCAAACTAAAGGCTGACGGTGCCGATAACTGCAGCGCCTCGACGTCGAGATTTTGCGCTAGGCTGTCGACGCCCGGTAACTGTTTGCTTAACTCTAAAGCCCGCGCTTTGTCGAACTGAAATTATATTTTTTAAAAATTTATCGCAAGCACAAATCGTGGTTAAGTACTTGCGCACAAGCCAGCAGCAGCTGCGCCGTAATTTTCTTGTCACCTTTGTTGTTCTTTAGAAGCTCTTCCAAACTATTGGCAGCGACTTGAGGGTGGCCGTTTTTGATGTGAAATTCGGCCGCTTGGCGCCACAAACTCGTCAAATTGACTTCTTCAGTTTTATTTTTTCTGTACCAATCGACACTTCTTTCAAAGACGCGGAGTGCTTTCTCTTCATCGCCCAAACCTAAGTATAGAGTGGTCAGAGCACCTACTATGCCAGGTTTGTACGTGTTTTCGCCCAAATTTTCGAGAATTTTACAAGCTTGCCCTTTGTTACCCTAGACAAATGAAAAATTGATTAATAACACTAGTTTACAAGGTTTTATATCCAAAGACAAAAATAGTTGAATCTAAAGGATTTGGGTTCGGGAAATTCAAATCTGAAAGCAGAAAAAATCTATCACGTCAGGTTTTTGAGATATTTATATAAACATACCCCGTATTTCTTTTCTTTTATACAACTCTTGTAACGTTTTTATTTTTAAATATATATGAACATATAGTTCTTTGAGCAAATTTGTATCATTTTAAAAGATCATTTACGTAAATAAATAATATGAGTGTCAATTTTTCAAGCTACTAGATTGTCATCAATGTTTTATTTAAAATTTTTCAAGTATTGATTTTAGAATAATTGGTTGCTTTTGATTTTTCTACGGGAAGTGATAATAAAAATGTGAGGCTGGCCTCACAAAGATCTTTTAAAATGATACAAATTTGCTCAAAGAAGTACAGGTTTATCTTTAAGAATAAAGAAGTTACAGGCGTTGTATCCAATAAAAGCAACACCCAGTATATAATATAAACATTATGACTGAAAATTAAAAATGATAAACAGTAGCGTTTCTTTTATTGACAGTACTGACAGTTTCCCTTATAATAGACCAACAGTAACACATTTTCGTCCCAAAATCCTTGATAGGTACCTTCTTTTTAAGCATATTTGAACAGGTCTTGCTTTAGGTACTATAATTTTACCATAAACGTAACAAAACTGATTTGCACTTACTTTGCACGATCTCGAAGACATTTTTTATGCGACAATAGTGCATTAACATGAATCAGTTTGATACTAACGTGAAGGTAAGAGCAAAGTTCATTATTTTTGATTTATGAAAAAACCTGACGTGATAAGGATAATCCGTTTTTGGATTTGTTATCAGCAAGTAATTTAGAAGTAAAAAATATATTTTTTTATTTTTGGATACGAAAAAAAGTTTAAATTTGTAAACTAGTGTAATCACTAATAATTGCGAAAAATATACCTGCACTAAGTAAAGTTGTGCTATGCATAATTTTACAAATAGCTCGTCTTGTTTGAGACTTGGAAGCGCTTTTTCTAATAGCGCAATTGCGTCTTTCGCATCGTCGCCCTTCAGTACATTTAAAGCCCTCAAAATAGTAGTGTATGTGTTAAGTTCAGGCCACGATTTCTCAATCTGTTTGCAAATCTTCTCACACTGATCAACCTGGTGTATGTAATAGTTCAGAATGGCGTTATTAAGAGCAATGTACTTCCTCTGTTTTGAAGGCAACTTAAAAACTAAAGTATCGTTGAGCGCAACTTTCATCTTCTTCTTTGAATCAAACAAATTCTGGTCTCTATTAATACAAACAACGTTATTACTAGCAATGGCCATCAAGGCCACGTCATCCAATTTTATCTTTAAGTTGGCACTATACAACTGATGGGCTTCTTTAACCCTTCCTTGTCTCTGGAAAACGTACGCCAGCTGAATTCTTATCAAAGCTAGTTCAATATCGATTTCTTCCTCAGAAGATTCCTCCTCTTCCAACATTTCCCTGCACAACTTTTCGCACTGTCGCAGTTTTTTCTCAGCTTCTGCGTACTGCCCGTGCGCGATCAACAAACACGCCTTATTGAAACAAAGCTCGTAAGTGTTATCTCTCAAATCTTCGATTCTATCTTTCGTGTCTTCATCTTCTAAATACACCATAACGGCACTCAGGTTCGTGTGGCGCTCGTCCTCGTAGTCGTCGTCGGTGTTTTTAACAATCTCGCGGTAGAGAGTAGCCGCGTCATCATACTTTTCCAAACGGTACAAAATCTGTGCTCTGAGTTCCTTCGAGCGAAGATCTAGATTCTCAATTTTTTCAATCGTTTTCAAAGCTTCTTCGTGCTTGTTGGCGCGGTACAGACAGTACGCTCTTTCGAAAACTAGTTGCCTGAAACGTGAACTTGAGTGGGGGTTTGTGGTAACACGGGGGCTTACTCGTCGAATTGAGCGTTGCCGTTTAACAGACGGATGGCTTCGTCGAATTTACCTAACTCAATCAAACACACTACTTTGTAATGGAACGCCAAAAACTCTTGAGGGGCCAAATTTAAGACTAAAACAGGGTTTTCGATCCATATGTTTTTTTGAGGTTATGTACTTACTTTTGTTGGAGGTTTTTATAGCGCGTTCATATTCGCCGTTCTGGCCGAAACGATTTAATTCGGCGTAGAACGTAGCGATCGCCTTTTTATCTCTTTCAGCCTTTTCACTCATTGTTAACAATTGTTCGAAATTGTTTATTGACGTAGACCACTTGGAAATTTGACGTTTGACAGAAATGCGGAGATAACCTCAAATTGCATTCAAATCGGTTTCAAAATAATGTAAGAGTTCGTGGGGGATCTGGTGTGGATTTTATCGTGGATGTCGAGCAAATTTAGGTAAGTCTGGTGTTTTTGAATGACAGCCGCTGCACGTTTTGAAAATTTGAAATTTCTGTGAAGTGACAAGTACGTTTCTGCGTTGAAATAACGAATCGATTTTTGTCTTGTAGATGGATTCGCCAGCCTCTGGACCAAGGGTGCGTAGAAGACCTTCGATACATCGATCGTGGAACGAGATTAATTTAACAGACGACCAGAAGCATACAAAGATGTCAGACAAACAAGAGCACAAATCAGGCCCAAACACTCCGGTGTTGCGTTTAAGACGTGTGTCCAAAGTTGAAAACGAAGATTCTGCGAATGAGAGTGATCATGAAAATAGTGTGGATAACAAGGGTGGTGATCTGAGTATGGAGGCAGAGTTGGAGGCTGACGAAGAGCACCTGGAAGCTTCAAATGCAAGTCTACCGTCGTTCAACACCAGCGACATATATGATGCCGGTAACATGGATGATGACTTTCAAGCTATTCACGATCAAGAAAAGTCTAACGCTGATTCAGACGTGATTACGTTGGCCATAATACTATTCTCTCTGTTTTCCGTACTATTGGCATGTTGGACCTACGATGCGAAGGAATCTTTTGATTTGCAATCGATCAAAGAGAGCTTCCCCACTCAGGATGACGATCTGTGGGTAGCTTTCGAGTCAGGAGTAGAAGATGTGGTTCTAAGAGGGCGACCATCCACTTTTATTTTGTTGTACGAAGATGAAGCAAGAGAAGTCATGCAGGAACTTGTGTATAAGCTGTCAAAATTCGCCGCTTGCAATATAACGGACTGCGAGAAGGAACCCATAGAAATCACTGACGCAGAGTTAAATTCGGCTAGGGTGCTTCGTGATTACGGAACGGTCATCGAGAAATACAGGCACAAATTGCAGGAGAAAGGCGTCATGGTTATCAAAAATCTGGAAAATGTCCGCGGAACTTCAGCTCAAGCTTTTCATTCGTTTTGCGATGAGTTTACACCTCTGGTTCAAAAATCGCTCTTCATTTTTACCATGAAAGTCGATCAGCTACCCAGAACGCCAAACAAGATGAAGTTTATCGAAGAGTATTTCAAGCGTAAGTGGACCGATATCAGAAACGATACTTTTAATGCTTTGATTACTAGAATTACTAGCATGGTCCTTGAAATCAAAACTTAATTTCTCAAAGTAGTACCTAATGAGTGTAATGAACAAACATATATGTGAATTATTTTTGTGATGTTTATTTTATTTTAAATAAATCAACGAGTGTTAGGAAGATGTATTTTTTAATCTATTGAGACCACATCTGACCACACCCTAGCCCCCCTAGCCCCCGTGGCCCCTTCTCAATTCAAATAAACCAATAATTGAAGAGAAGTAACGTGGTGCCCTCTATACGACGGATTCACGAGTCGGAAGCCACGCCTCTATTTTTTCCGATCCCCGGTTTAAAATATTTTATTTCATTAAAATAATCGCAGTTAGCCTTGAGGGATTAGAAAAATAAAAAATGCTGACGATTTTTGGGAAAAAAAAGTGCAAAAAGATCCAGGTCTAGCTTTATTGATTAGGCTGTCACGAAGTTCCCACTCCCGGACGCGATCCCACTACTGAACGACACGGGGACTTTTGGCTGTTGGGTTTCCCCCCTGACCCGGTTCGCCCCTCCTTAGCCGACCTGGACACCCCAGGCTCCCCCAGGGTACCCATATCGATGCCGATCTTAGTGTGGACATCCAGTCAACGTAAGACGCTACGCAACAGAACTCCCAATCTCAAACCATCCACTGAACCCGACCTCCAAGAAGCTGGATTACAGGAGTGCGCCACGCTCCCGGTCGAACGTTGTAGTTACATATTGGAGATATAAAGTAATGTTTAGGTGATATAAACATAATGTAATTTGTATATTATTTTTATATATTGTTACTGTGCTATTATTGTAATTTGATGTTGTAATAAATATCTACTGCAATTTAATTTTTGAGTTGATTTTTTAAATGAATGATGGCGTATGTTGGGTTGCCTGTCCGCATCATTGTTATTTGTCTACTTGATAAGCGATGATAAAATAGGTAAGAAAAGAAAGCGGACAAGAAAAAGGTTACAAGAAATGGGATAAAAAAGGAACCAGCAAAGGGCACAAAGAAAAAACCCTAAAAAAAGATGGCAAAAAATACGAAAAAAGGGTAAAAAAAAAGCGACAGTAAAGCCATAAAAAAGGTAAGAAAATGTGGACAGCGGACAGATAGAAATGTGGTCTGACTTTATTAACAAATTATATAAATACATTTTGTAAACAATGTTGAAAAGATTCATAAACAAATTATACCGGATGTCTAGAAATTGACCGATTAAATCTTCAGTACGTTATGTACGGGGTTTCTCGAGTCCCAAAAAAATTATTAAAAAATTCTTTTTAATGTATTGTCTTTGCCATTTCTATTGAAACACCACCTGTTGATTTTGCTTAAAATTTAGCAATTGGTAACAGCTTTCGGTTGATTGACAACGTCTTTTAATTAGAAATTTGTCTGAATAGGAACGTTGCCAAATTTACGATTAACAAGTGGTGGTTCAATAGAAATGGCAAAGAGTATAGATTGCAAAAAAACCCGGAATTTTATAAATTTTGATTATTTTTTTGTAAAAGTTAGTCATCAGTGCTTGCTAAGAAAAAGCTGATTTTGGCAGATGATATACCTTCTAAAAAAAGAGAGGGTGGGTGGGCGGGGATAGTAGCTGCTAAGATAAAACTGATTTTGGCACATGACATACCCTCTAAGAAAACAGAGGGAGGGCGGGTGGGGTTAGTACCTGTTAAGATAAGACTGATTTTAGCAAATGACGTATCCTTTAAGAAATTTAATTAACTTATTATAGGAAAAGACACTAGAGGCTCCAATTCAAGTTCTTTCCAAACAGAAACACCTAGAACTTCAACATTGTTTTAAATTTTTCAAAAAAAAAACGGGCTCCCAAAATTAAGTCAAAAACACCTCAGGTCAGAATTTTCCAAAAATAGAACACCAAAGTCTCCCAAAATTGTTTTAAATAATTATAATTTACAAAAAAAATCACCACTGGCTCCCAAAATAATACAGCATGGGTACCCAAGAGTCTCCCGTATTAAAAACAAAAAATACTTACTACAGCACTAAAGACTTTTCAAATTCGTAAAAATAAAATACTAAAAGATCAAAAAAAATGTTCAAGTTCATCCAGGAACAAAACAACATATTTTTACTTCCCGAGCGTAAGCAAAGGAAGTATTGTAATCGAGTCCGTCGGCCGACTCTCTACTTTTACGTTTTCTCGATCTTTCATGACCCCTAGAAGACGAAGAAATAGGTCTCCCATTTCCGTCTGTCTGTCCGTCTGTCCGTCTGTCCGTCTGTCCGTCTGTCCGTCCGTCTGTCCGTCTGTCCGTCTGCCGTCCCGGATTTTTATTAGACAGATAATCTCCGAAAGTACTTGACCGATTGTTGTGAAATTTTGTACTTATATTAAGAATATCATGTAGATGGTAAAACGCTAACCAAAATTTGTCTAATCATCTCCACCACTAATACGATGACGTCACTTCAAAATTGTACATAGTAAATGGGTTTTCAATTGTATAAAATAACATAGTCCTACACATGTAGTTTACAACTCTGAATCGACTTTTCACCCAAAACGTCCATATTTTTGGAAAAAAAATCAAAATTATAAAACAACATTTTGAAATTTAATTTTTAATCTGCTAACCAGAATGCTTTGAAATGTTGCAGATGTTTTAAGGCTATAAAGAACATCATAAATCTTTAGTCAAAAAATATTTGCTTATCCCCTCCAAAAACTTGATGACGTCAGCTCAAAAGTTTGTGGAATAAATCATATCTGAAATGTGCAAAATATGATGAGTCTGTACTTGTGATCTATCACTCCATTCATATTTTTTGGATTTGCATATACAGGGTGACTCAAAAAAATTAATGAATGCGTAAATATATTTTATTGATTTAATCAGGAACTACAAAACCGAATGCTCTGAAATCTTGCAGATGTTTTAAGGTCATAAAGAGCATAATAAATGTTTAGTCAAAATATATTTGCTTATCCCCTCCAAAAACTTGATGACGTCAGCTCGAAAGTTTGCCGAATAAATCATATCTAAAATGTACAAAATATGATGAGCCTGTACTTGTCATTTATCACTCCATTCATATTTTTTGGATTTGCATATACAGAGTGACTCAAAAAAATTAATGAATGCGTAAATATATTTTATTGATTTAATCAGGAACTACAAAACGGAATGCTCTGACATCTTGCAGATGTTTTAAGGTTATAAAGAGCATAATAAATGTTTAGTCAAAATATATTTGCTTATCCCCTCCAAAAACTTGATGACGTCAGCTCGAAAATTTGCCGAATAAATCATATCTAAAATGTACAAAATATGATCAGTCTGTACTTGTGATCTATCACTCCATTCATATTTTTTGGATTTGCATATACAGGGTGATTCAAGAAAATAAATGAAAGCGTAAATTTATTTTACTGATTTACTCAGGAACTACAAAACCGAATGCTTCGAAATCTTGAAGATATTTTAAAATTATCATAAGCATGGTAAATTTTTGATCAAAATGTATTTGGTCGTCCCCCCTAAAAAATTTATGACGTCACCACAAAATTTTGCTGAATAAATCCTATCTAAAATGTACAAAATATGGTGAGTCTCTTCTTGTGATTTATCATTCCATTCAAATTTTTTCGATTTGCATATACAGGGTGACTCAAAAAAATTAATGAATGCGTAAATTTATTTTATTGATTTAATCAGGAACTACAAAACCGAATGCTTTGAAATCTTGCAGATGTTTTAAGGTTATAAAGAGCATAATAAATTTTTAGTCATAATATATTTGGTTATCTTCTACAAAAAACTGATGACCAACCCAATTTGGTAGACACAAAATTTGTTAAAGGAAAAACTCGGTTGAAACATAAGGGTAGCACGCTTATTTACATCCACTTTAACATTACAGACTTGCATTTGTTTTATGCGCTCACTTGGTTCCGCAAATGTGAAATAGACATGTTTATAATCAACCAATTGTGAATTTCACCGTCAAGAATTAAAACAAAACCCAATGTTTTATATAATAAGCGGAAGTCGAAGCAATAAAACCGATGGTCGTTTTGTTTACAGTTTCTCTGTTTGACTCTCACGTATGCTGTTACGTCTGTCATCTTAAATTAAGAATGTTTATACATACACGATTTTCAGTTGCCTCTGATACGTATACGTGAGTAAATTGTTTCGTTATTTTATTGATTATTGCAAATCAATATTCAAAACGACCCAATTCATTTTCCCGAAAATTTGAGAATATAATAATTTTATTCTTAGTATTACACTACATCTATCCCAACTGATATACTTGTCCTTGCAAAAATGTTGATGACGTCATCGCAATTTTTTTTTAAATTCCCACTACAAAAATGTAATGAGAAAAAAAACACAATAGGCATGCAGTCGTCAAGTTTCCGACAGCGAGGGAAGTACTGTCTAAACTCTTTAGACCAATTTTTTTCTTACACGAAAGGGAAGAGTTGTAAAGCCTCCTCAATGGTTGACTTATTACAAGTTGTTGTGTTTTGGAATTTAAAAAAAAGATGTGTAATAAATAATAATTAATCTTGCTTTTATAGCGAGTGTCTGGAAAATGCCGGATTAATTCTGCGCTACGCTCTTAACAATTATCTGGTGAGTCTGGGAAAAATATGTCATTTGCCAAAAAATCGGTCTTGTTTTAGCAGGCAGTAGCACGTCCACCCGCCCTGTCTTTTCTTAGAGGGTCTCTCATTTGCCAAAATCAGTCTTATCTTAGCAGGAACTAACCCCGCCCACCCACCCTCTCTTTTCTTGGAAGGTATATCATTTGCCAAAATCCGTCTTATTTTAGCAGGTACTAGCCCCACCCACCCACCCTTTCTCTACATAGAGGGCATGACATTTGCCAAAATCAGTTTTATCTTATCAGGTACTCTTCAACCCAACTATCAACGCAGGCGACGGAGAGTTAATCCGCCATTTTCTAGACACCCGGTATAAACAATTTTAAACAAGAGGGAAAATTTATTTACATATTGCCTCCAAAAGCAGTATTTAACTTATGCACCCAACACCCAATATTCCGATTCCCAAAAAATTTCAGCTTTGATTTATTTGTTTTAATTATACATGAAATCGTTAAATTAAAAAACTGTCTTGAAGACACTCATTATAAAATAGTACCACGCTCATTAAGTAAATGACGATATCTCTGTTTCTTTCTTTCTCTCCAGCCGGAAAATAATGATGCGCTGACGAGCCTGGATCTTCGATCTGGGAGTAGGACCACAGAGAGTCGAGGAAGTTTTAGAACTGAAATATTTTTTCGTATCAGCGCTACGTACGGAATAATCTTCTACTAATTTGACATTTGTAACAGAAACATGTAATGCCTCATTATCCCAACTGTGACACCTATATTATATATTATATAATCACGTTATAAGTTCTAATTGTATTTCATATAATTCAATTTTCTTTTTCCAGTAAATTCGTACTGATTTAAACATTAACAAAAAAATGACAGGGTTCACTATTATCTGAGAACGTAGTGATCTACCCTCAAGCAGATGGCGCTGCGATCGAATTGTTGGGCGACTGGCATTCGTTTGGCCACCTCTTCGACGGCCTTATATCCTAGTCAGAAGTTGAGTGTCGAGGCTCGTCGACTTGGTTTTTATTTCATGAGCTTTGTGCGTGAATAAAAAAATGTATTAAATTAAACGTTGATTTTTTATGCAGATTTATAATGTAAAAACACATATAACATGAATCATAAACTGTGTTTTAATTACTTCGACGAATTGTTACTTTCACAGGGATTTATTTGTGAATGGATAAAACGACATCGTATTAATTTCGGTGATCAGCACATCCGAAAAGAATCCGCAATGGAGTAATACTTTTATTTACGTCATAAACGTCCGTACATAAAAATATCTTTACACATATGAAAGCACATGTACAATGAACACTTACAAAAATTGGAATGTAATTTACGACGCCGCAACAAACACCCAATCCGAAACACACCCCAAATCGTTTCTGCGGACCGATTAATTGACAATTCCAACCCAACCGCTCAATAAATAGACAATAAATTATTTGGCCACTTTGAACGCGCGGAAAATTAGCTACCACAAGAACTCCTCGGCACGGTCCCGTTCGATTTCCTCGCCATCGACTCGTTCGACGTCGTCCCCTCGTCGCTCAAACTCCTCCCCAGCTTCGGTCTGTTTTTGAAAATCCTAGCCCGAAACGGACTCTTCTGAATCTTCTTCAGCTCGCCGCCGTCCATAGAACTATAACTCCTCGCGAACGGCTTCCTCACGTCGCTCTCCACGAAGAACAAACCCCTGGAAAGCTGCGGCGAGGAATTCGAAAGCGGTTTAGTCTCCGACACGATCTTCAACTCGTTCTTAATCTTGTCGGTTAAGTTGGTTTCTAGGTCGTGCTTGAACTCGGTGAAGGGTAACGAGTCGTCGATGAAGACGTCGTCGCTTTCTTCGTCCACGCTGGAGCTTTCGACGTAGGAGGGGTTGATTTGGGAGACGTCGTTGGTCTGGTGGGGCCTGTAGGGAGTCGCGGGGCGCACTATCGAGACTTTTTCGTTGTGCTTGAGGGAGTCGCTCGAGTCGGACGACCCTTCGGGTAGGGTCCAGATGTGTCTGTTGGTTTCGGCGGAAGCGACGGCGATCGTCGCCGCCGTCGTCGTCATCCTCACTTCCGACTTCTTCTGGTAGTAGATCTGGGAGTTGGAGCGAGCCTTCTCCGTGTTGTTCCTACTCAGGCGGTCGTTGTAGTTGCACGACGGCCTGGCATTCGGGGTTTGAGCTTCCTTGTACCCGAACAAGTTGCAGAAGAAGTTCTTCAGAGCTGAGCGAAAATCGCGCAAGTGGTAGGCGTACAGAAGGGGATTCCCTGCTGAGTTGAGGTGCGACAGAATGATGCACGAGAACATGAAACTGGAGTCGACTTTGCAGTCATGACAAAAGGCTAAAACGCAGTTGATGGTATATAAAGGAATCCAACAGATCATGAAAAATAATACTATAATGGCTAGGTTTTGGGTGGCTTTGACTTCGCGTTTTTGAGCGGCGCCGAGCATTCGGAGCATGGTTCCTCCAGAGGAAGACCTGCCGTTCTCCGGGTTCATGGTGACGATGGCGCGCAGCTGGAACGACGACAGTTAGAGGGTGCGCGTGCTGCACAAAGGGCTTACTTGTTTGAGGACCACCCTGTATATGTGGGCGTAGAACGCCGCCATGAAGAGGGCCGGCGTGATGATGGTGCCGAAGTAGAGGAAAACGAGGTAGTTGTAGTCCATGACGTGGAGAAAAAAACATCTGCCGTCGAAGTGGTCGTCGTTGTGCCAGCCCATGAGGGGGAAGAAGCCTACGAGGCTGCCGGTCACCCAGCACACGGAGATGATGACTAGAATAAAAAGCAAGATTTTTATTTTTACTACCGTCACAGCTTAGGGACTTTTAGGTTTGTCCACCCGTCAGATGTGACGCCGTCATTTTCAATTCAAAATTTTTGTACTTATTTGTTTCAACGAAAAAATGCGCGAAATAGTACATATTCAGATCGGACAAGCCGGCAACAACATCGGCACGAAAGTGAGTTCATAGCGTGTGAAGATTTCTAATTATCTGATTAATTTTCATTATTTTTTCGATCAATCATAATTTTCATTACGAAGTTTGGGTAATGGAAACTGTTGTTTAATCATAGGGAGTTTTTAATCACGGTTGCACTGGCCCGCACCAACAGATTAATTTCGTAGCGCTAAAAATATAACCAGACTTTATTTTCTTTTTAATTATTTGTCGCCATTTTGTGCCACACGAATTCATCGAAGTCGTTTCCAGTTCTGGGAGCTAATTTCCGACGAGCACGGCATCGACCCCAGCGGCTACTACCACGGCAACACCGACCTTCAGCTCGAAAGAATAAACGTCTACTTCAACGAGGCCCAGGGCGGGAGGTTCGTTCCTCGGGCCGTCCTCGTCGACCTCGAGGCCGGCACTATGGACTCCGTTCGTTCCAGCGCCTTCGGCCAGCTGTTCTCGCCCGACAGCTTCATCTTCGGCAGAGAAGGCGCGGGTAATAACTGGGCCAAAGGCCACTACACCGAAGGCGCAGAAATAGCGGACCACGTCCTCGAAGTAACACGCAAAGAAGCTGAAGGCTGCGATTGTCTCCAGGGGTTCCAAATCGTGCACTCTCTAGGTGGGGGTACCGGGTCCGGCATGGGGTGTCTCCTTCTTGGAAAAATCCGCGAAGAGTACCCCGATAGAATCATCAGCACTTTTTCCATCATCCCGAGCCCGAAGGTGTCGGACACCGTGGTCGAGCCGTACAACTGCGTCATGTCGCTGCACCACCTGGTGGAGAACACCGACGAGACGTACATGATCGACAACGAGGCTCTGCACGATATTTGCTACAGGACGTTGAAGCTGTCGGCGCCGGCTTTAGCCGACTTGAACCACCTTATCTCAGCGGCGATGTGCGGGGTTACGGCGTGTATTCGCTTCCCGGGGCAGCTGAACGCGGACTTGAGGAAGATTAAAGTGAATATGGTGCCGTTCCCGAGGTTGCACTTCTTCGTGCCGGGGTTTGCGCCGCTGGTGTCGCGGGGCGCCATGCAGTATCAGGCTCTGACGGTGCCTCAGCTTGTTCTCCAGCTGTTCGACGCTAAGAATATGATGTGCGCTTGCGATCCGAGGCACGGGAGGTACTTGACGGCGGCTACGATTTTCCGGGGGAGGATGTCGACGAAGGAGGTGGACGAACAGATGTACAATATACAGGATAAGAACAGTAGTTATTTTATTGAGTGGATTCCGAATAATCTGAAGTCGGCGATTTGCGATATACCGCCTAGAGGGTTGAAGATTTGCGGGACGTTCATCGGGAATACTACGGCTATCCAGGAATTGTTTAAGAGGGTGGGGGAGCAGTTCTCGGCTATGTTTAGGAGGAAGGCGTTTCTGCACTGGTACACGGGGGAAGGGATGGAGGAGATGGAGTTTACGGAGGCGGAGTCGAACATGAATGATTTGATTGCGGAGTATCAGCAGTATCAAGAGGCGTCGACTGAGGAAGGCGAAGACGGAGAGGGTAACGACGACGACGACGAAGAGGAAGAAGAGGAATAGCAACGGGCTGGATGTCCAATAAACAATTAAGTTTCATACTTTCACTTTTTACTTCCCGAGCGTTTTTTAGTTTTGGGATTTTTCAATTTTTCAAATCAATCAGTGATTGATTGATTGAAAACAAAAATTGCAATTATTTTAAAAATGTTTGAAAGAATCGGGATTTGTTGACTTTTTTAGGTTTCACTTCCCTCGTTACAGCTTCTGTGCACTTCACAAAAAGTAAAAATTAATTTATTGGAGTGCGTGCGACAATAAATATTTGCAAGTCTCAAATTGGACAAAAAACACGATTTTAATTTCGTTATTTACATGGAGCAAGAGCCGAGGTCTCGCCTCAAGCAAACTGATCAACGTAGTAATTTTGCGAGGAAATATTGATTTACAGCATCATTTACTATCAGTGTTGGACACTTGAAAACGTTGCGAATTTTGATAAGAGGAGACTAAGCACATTCTCGTACAAAATCTGTTATAATTATCAAATATACATAGTCACGTTCGGTAAATGAAGCTTTCGAACAATAATCACGGCCCGACTTGGAATACACGAGCAAACCCCTGAAACACTTTTAGCTCACAAAGAATTTCAAACTCAATTTTGGTAAAATGCTGCAGTTTTTCTTCGTAGTTTTGTTGGGTCAGGGCGAAATTAGACACGCATTCAGCGGAAAACGTGGTCGGAATTTACAATTCATGTAAGTTTGAAACATCAACAGTTGTTACTTTCACCGACATATTCTACGCCTAAGTCTAGGGTGCAAGCACGAAAACCGGCACTAAATTAGACAAACCAGTAAGAATAAAAACGTCGCTTTTATAGGAGATCGAAGATAATAAAAAGCTAGAGGCTTCATTATTTATGTGTATCGTGTCATAAAGCGATCAAAATCTTCAAATAAGACTTACTCGTTATGAGTTTTTAATTCCTGGTACTTTCCCACACGTAATACATCGCCTGATATTAAGCAGTCGAAAAATTAATTTCTGTCCCGTTTTATCCTTTATAGCCACTATTCAAACAAGTTTAATGCCCTGTGTGATACCCACCGAACTCCAATAAAACGAAAGTTGCGTGACAATTTCAAACGAAGAAAATGGCTTCACAAAAAAATGATGGTTTTGTCGATTTATCTAATAACTTAATCGTTCGTTTCGATTAATTTTCGTCGGAAAATCGTGTTTGTGGGTTCAGACTCCTTAGCCACGATTCGGAGTCTCCTCACGTAACATTCCTTTACTTGTGATTAAGGTTCAAGCCCGGTAATCTGAATCTTAAAAGGACAAGTGTGGCTAATATAGCTTACACGAGGTATAAAGACAGTCGTAAAATAATGGCGTTTGTAACGTTTATAAAAGGTACAAAGGATTATTCATGGCGCCTGTGATGCTCATAAAAGGTAGAAAGGATTATTCATGGAGGAAATGGGCCGTGTGGCCCTGCACGTACACAGGGAAGGCTGCCAGACTAACCAACTTTACATAATTTCTATTCTTTTCAGAACAAAAAAATTAATAAGAGAAGATTCAAAAAAGGTGTTATAAATCCAGCTCCGATACACTTTATGGCCACCGGACCCCAATAAAAGTGCACGCAGCAATAATTTTCCTCTCGGAAGTTAATTAAAACTAACTGTGTCTTTAACGACTTAAGTCTGAGTCTTCTACACTCAACTCTAATGAAGCGATTAAAATTTAATTATTGATATCACGTTTTAGATTCCTGGTGGCGTGGTTTATAAAAAGCACGCAAATTCGCTCTTATTTTAACAATAACCAATACACGCACTATTTGTGTCATAACTCAATTCATTGCTACTGCAAATTGATTAGATAAAACACGCTTAATTACTCATTTATAGCGATATCTGTCTGTTACAACTAAATATAGCGATATCCTTGATCGCAGCCGTTTAAATTTTCATTTCGATTAAAGCCCATCAAAGCGGCGAATTGTACCTGCGGTGTTCTCCAGACACTCATGAAGCATATTAATTTCGGATTATGTAGTCAGGTTCCATGATGCAAACTTTTTCCTAAAAATTAACAGAGAAAAATATTTTTTCGTTTGTCGTTTGGACGTGAAATAACCCGACGGCGACGTTCCTGTGGGTGACACGGAGGATATAATTTGAGAAGAAGCAAGATAAATGCGTCCGCGAAATTTATAGCGGCGGGATTGCCCTACGCTATTTGTTAGTGCTGCCTTCAAATTACATCAGCTGCAAATAACTACATTTAATGGAACGTAGCGTAGTAGTTGATAGTGAATTCCGCAATACATTCTCGCTTTTATCCACTTGTTGGCTTCGGATGCTAACTCGAGATAATTCGCTTTCTCGAGTTCTAATAAGAAACTGAAGCGCTCGTGAAATTTATTTCGGTTTCGTTTTAGAGCCGGTCGTTACGCGATCTAATGTATGGATGTTGTAAGTTGCGCTTTTTTTTGTGGAAAATGTGAAAGGATTTCGATATTTTTATTATATTTGGAGGCGTCAGGGTTTTCTCGATGTTCGCACTGGTTTGCGTTTCCAGGGTCGGCGGCGTACTTATGTTCTCGAGTTTCTTGACGCTAAATTGTCTGAATGTGTTTTATGAGATTATCCTCTTTAAAATTATGTAATGGAACGCTTTTATGATTTAATGGCGCTTTATTCTAGTTGAAGTGACACCGCTGGCAAGATTTGCACTAATTCGATTCAGTTTAACAAAAAAAGGGTTTCTAGGACTGACCTGCCACTTCATGTTTTCTCGACGTTTCATGAACTTTAATTTGAAAAATCGCGGACGGTTCTGCAAATTCCGATCGTATTTGCGTATAAAATGCAAATTAGCGTGTTTATTTCAGTATGGATTAAACTTGTCCATTTATCTTGTTTCATCACATGCTTAATTAAAACGCAACCAGCTCTAGATGCAGCGATGACAGTAAACAAAAGTTTAATTTAAATTTATAATAGAGGTGTGAATATTTTCATTAAATTAAAACCGGGAAATTCGATAATTCAGTTATCAGTTCTTCTTGGACTAATGTAAAGTCTTTATGTAAAAATAAGCAGAGAGACATTCCTTGAGTGATATTTTTTAGTTTCTCTCTCCCATCACTTTTACTTTAAATATCAAAAAAAAAAAAAAAATATTTTCTGTAAATAGATGAGCACAGCTAATGGATTAACGTCCTAGGAAACTCCTCAAAGTGTCAATTAATACAAAACTTAGTTTGAAACCAAGTCCTTCAATCAAGTTATCTCTAAGCTTCAACAACATCGAAACACTTCTTGAGTTAATGAAACACAAAAAAGCTTCTGTGGATTACGTCATATTTTAAATGACACCTGTTGATGTTACGTTGACCGCTAAAAATCACGTAATTTCTTACAAAATTAACAATCGTCAATATTGAAATTACGTTAATTAGCTATCGTTTGTGACAGCGGATTTCATTTCTGTGATTTATATTAAAAAAAAAACAACAACAGCTCGCGACACGAATTTAATTCCACATTTTCCTGTTACGAAACGAAGGAAACCTCCAGAATAATGATGCGCATATTTCACCATCTAGAAATATCGTGAAAGCATACAAAGTGTTTGTTGTGTCCCTTCTCGTATAACACACGAAAATAAAACCATTCCAGATGGTACATTTTCATAAGTAAATATTTATCTAACCCGATAATTAACGTTTCGGGATGACAGACAAATTCCTAACCTTTGGGATAAATAAGAGTGACAAGTGACGTTGGCAGAACGTCACAAATAAAAATGATAAAAACAAGAAAGTCGAAGATAATTAAATCATTCTTCCTTCTCACGCGAGCAGAAAGCCATCGCGTGTTCTCTGCAAGGCCAAAATCATTTATTATCCTTTTCGGAGCAAATGTGCCGTTTAATAACCCAGAGAAGCACCAAGTACACAACATTCGTCGTTAAATCACGACGCCGTAATGAAATTAGTGTAAACTGTCTAATGCAGAGTTGTCATTTATGATAAACAACACAGAGCACTCTGCGCAATTACCTATGGCGGTCTTCGTCCTGACATTCCTCGAGTAGCCCATGGGGTGCAGGATGGCCCAGTACCTGTCTACCGACACAGCCACCAGGCAAAAAATGGAGATGGTGCACAGAACCACCAACAACGACACCGTAAACAGGCACGCGTGCAGGTTCTGCGGGATACCAATCGAAGACAGGATGGCAAAGGGGATTCCCAGCAGACCGACCAGCAGGTCGGCCACTGCTAGTGACACGATGTAGTAGTTCGTCCTTCTCCGCAAACGGCGCTCTTTTCGAAACACGAAAATGACTAGGGCGTTACCGATCACAGCGAACACTGCCACCAAAACTTCGCAGATAACGTAATATAAGTTCATTTCGTCCTGTTGGTAGTCGAAGCGGGTGGTATTTGTCGACTCCATTGTGGGAAGTTGAGGAACTGGGGCAGGGAGTTGAGATTTATTCATGTTGACCAGGTTGTCCGCGATGAGTGGATTATCCCACGCCCATCTCTCTCAGGATGCCGCGCTTGCCGGTGGGCAGTTCCATCTGAAAAGGGATTCGCCCATTTATTAGAGGTCGACCAGAAAAAAAAAGCATTTTTCTAGTTTGCGTCACATAGAAGTTAGTCATAGAGAAATTCAGTATTCATTTAATATATTTTTTGTGCGATGATGTCATCAATATTCTGGAAAGAATAAATAAGTAAATAAATAAATTTCATTTATTGGTCTATAATCGGTAAATTATTATTATTATTAGCGTCTTATCAGAATTACAAAGAAATCCGTTCTGTGGTTGCTCGGGGAAATTCTAAAATTTGAATGCAGAAACTTGGACTAAAAATAACATGAAAAAGATGGCATGTCGAAATTATTATCAGGTGTTTAATCAAATTTGAAATAATTTTACTTGGTGCAAAAAATTAAAGTTTTAGACTAAAACGAAATAAATGGAGGCAGATCAGTTCTGGATTAATTATTCTGTTTACCTTAAAATATTTTTTTACCTCTTTCGCAAAAACTGATAAAACAGGCAAAAAACTCGGTATTTCATTTTCGTGCAGCAAAAACCTCTACTCTTTCACACGTGATTAACGAGCTGCCTTATCCGAAATATTTCAGGCGGCTTGAAATCAATGTGAAAAATTGTGTGGAAGAGGCTGATAATGAGTCAAAACATCTGGCGATGTCAGACACTTTTAACCATCTTTTAATGTTTTAATGGCGGAAAAATCAATAACAAACAATAGCGTCGAAGGGGAATTAATACGGCGAATTTCAGAAAAGAATACGAGATAACTATGATTGAAAGTGTCAACTGAATTCGTCGAGGCGAGGCGTGCAAAAGTTGGAATTTATTCACGCTCGGAGAAGTAGCGCATTATCAAATTCTAAATCTTAAAGTAGAAAATGTTTTCGTTTCATTAAAATTAACGGGTTGTTTTTCTGGTTAATTTCGCCTGAATTACGGCAAGTTTCCAGCGTTATATGAAATTCTGAAGAGCGAAATATGAAACGTGAAAATAATAACCTTTTGTCTCAAAAGAAATCCATACTCGAAGCAGAAACAAAAAAAATCAGCATTTTCACTTTCAATTTTTATTAGGAAACCGACTTGGGTGTTAAGTGATGCCATCCTCTAAGACGATTTTTATCAAATTAACGCATGAATCACGGTCCAAGTGCAAAACCATCATAGGCATTTGAATGACAAAAGCCCGGACCGTGAAAAGGCAATTACAATTAATTTTAAAGTGCGGATAATTTCTAATTTAATAGCCTATTACTGCCTTCCACGGATCAAATTAGTTTTATAAGACAGGATGTTGGCAATATCATGTTTTGTTGTTAACATAAATGAAAACTTTATTACCCATTTCATTTTAATGACGTCATTCTATGTAAATAATATTCCGAATTTTCAGTCAATTAACAATCAAAATAATTAAGAATCGAATCCCAAAGCGGTAATCATCATTACGTTCATTGTCCCTAGTACATCATTTTTTCGCGCAATCGATGAATGGCATCCAATTAAAAAAATTAGCTTCGATTCAGGCGCGTCGTGGATTTCGCGGTTATTTATAAGCCGCCATAAAAAATAAGAGCAGAGATAGTTTCGATGATTTATTTTTAAAATAATTTTCATTTTCGGACGGCTTAGAAAAACATAATACAAGGACCCCAGCGGCCTTGGAAAAACCAATTTGCATGGATGTCGCTTCTTTAATTAAGTACCTTCGTGAGTCAAATACCATTAATGGTAATACCGTGCTAGAAAAACGAGATGAAAATGATAACCGCCGTCATAAATTTCGCAGGAAAGAAAGCTACATACACGAAAACGAAACAAATGTCAAGAATTTGTTAAGAAACGCTTGTTGTTTAAAAAAAATCGATAGGGCGGACTTACATTTCGAAAACAATTTTTCTTTTCTGAATGACTTGTTTTTTTGCGACAATCACATTCTGAGGTTTGTTTTCGACTTACTTCGCCGCGTCCATTAACTGATACTGTTATCACTGAAAATTCTCTGAACGATATCAAAACGCTAACCACGACACGCATAAGAGAACTGTTGCGTTCAAAACTAGTGTTTGTGTGATCCTCTAAAATGCGATTGCGCAACTTAATTGTCGCTCTCGGGTGAAAAAATTCAAAATCTCTTTTACAACCCCAATCATAACAACAATTTTATACAACGAGGCTGTAAAATATTCACTCGTTTTGTTTTAAATGAGTTTATAGCTGAAATTGAAACTTGACACTCTATAGTTGTGGACGTTTCGAATATTCGAAAGGAAAAATTGTCAATTTTTTAAGCACTGTTATCCTTTAACCATTTTCGTTACTGAGGTGTTCTTTAAGGACTAAAAAATAACTGTCTTAATGAAATTAGACAAGGCGATGAAACCGCACAACTTCGACGAAAAGTGGGAAAAATGAATTTCTTGCAGTTCGAGTTGTTTGTCGCATCGATCGTTGTCTATATTAAGAAAGTTTCACACCCCATGCTTGGCCAAATTATCAATTAGGAGAGCCGTGGGGGGTTTACTAGCTGAGGAATGTTCGTGTGTTGGAGTTGGGATGGTACTATCAATTTCCTGTACGTTAATAGGTGTTTACTACTTGTCATTATGAACTGTTTTCATTAACATTCTTTTTGTAGTTCGTCGCAATGTGTGATGGTCTTATTTTATCCACTTACTCTAATTGACTCCACCTTGGAACATTAACATTACAGGGGGCGGTTAAATCATTTCCAGACAAAGGGGACTTTGCATGAATGGATGTTAGTCACTTCACTACCACCAGAAAAACCCATAAAGTTGTTTACACGTTTCAGCATACAACTACTGTTCAAGATTTACTAAAACGTCATCAATTGTCACAAAGTGTTAATATTAAAAATGTGTGAAGGGATGAACTCAAGCAATCGATCAGTATACAGTGATTTTATTTAATAATAATTTATTTAAAATAGTACCATTCGTGCTTAAAAACAAACTAGAATTTTACGACGTCGCGTTCAACAAATTAACGTAAGAATAGGCCGTTTGAAGTACCTTAAACACCACACAATGAAAAAATTACAAGTACGACTTCGGGACGTACCCCCAGAATTAACAGAAGCGACAAAAACGTAAAAGGTCCTGCGTGGATCAAAATAGGTCGCTGCGAACGCATCACAATCGGAACCACAATCTTCTGAAACTTGGTATCCATTTGGTACCACCGCGATTGATAAATGGCAGCACCTACAGACAAAGACTACCCAGAATGAAAGCCACCAGTAAATCGAAAGTACCTCGTCCATCAGCCGTTGTCCTCCAACACACACAACAAACAATGAAGAGAACCATCCAGAGAAAAGCGACATGGAATCAATGGTAAAAGCACTCTGTAACCCAACACAGGTATTAAACAACCACTAATACCAACTCACCGCCATGATGGTATGCCCGATGAACCCAAACAGAGCGCCGGCTACCAAAACATGAACAGAGAGACTAACCCGATAACTTCGATTCATGTCTTTACCGATTCTGCAAAACTTGGTTAGATCTGTCGTACCAAGAACAAATCGTACCCAAAAATAAAAACGTGGTACTCGACCCAGCGCGCTAGCAACTCTTGTCGTACGAACGGATTTTTTTCTTCCACCACCTCCACGAGGAGCATCTTCAAGTGCTGGATGCGTACCACGAGATGTTCCATGGTTTCCAGCATCGCCATCGAGATCATCCCGGCTGCTCCGTACGTCACCACGCAGCAGTAGCACTGCCAGAGATAAATCACTTGTTTGACTGGGAAGTAGTCGTAGTCGAAAGGCAACCATATGGGTGCCACCAGCCCACACACCTCATCCTTGCAGTCTCCAGTGTAAATCGCCGGCCACAAAAACACCCCAACTATAGCTACATGCAACACAAATCGAAAGGATCTGGCGACCTCATCTAACTCTTTGTTCCGAATGTCGAACTGAGGAGGTTTCCCGAAGTTGTCAAAATCGGATAAGTCGGAGATGATTTTCATTATGGTGGTTCGGTTCGTGATGAAGAACGACGCGAAGTACATGACTCCGAACTGGCTGGTGACATTCTCGGCTGTGGCGACCATGTCGATGTTTTGGTTGTCTAAACAAAGAGTCGGAAATTTAAGAAAAGCGAAAGTGGTACTTACTGGCTAGAGCCACGACTAGACGGAGGGCGCTTCCGACGAGGAGGAACGAACCCGTGAGGAGAATCAGATAAGCTGGAGTTGTGGTGGAGTTTGGGTATCGGGGCCAGAGGTAAACCCGAGTCAAGTGACCCAAAGTCGATTTCATGATGACTGTAGACATTTTGGTGGTATACACCGTGGGGTGGGTTTTATATAGAAAGAGTGTAGGGTGGGGATGTGGAAGACTATCAATATTTTATGTTAATTTTTAGACATGTGAATGAATTTTGTGTTCTGTTCCAGGTGTTCACTTCTCACGTTGCTTCATTTTCGCACCTAGTGTTTTCCTGTGACGTGCAAGCTCGTAATCACATGCATTTTCATGTTTTAGCACTGCTGGAAGCAAGAAATGTAACATCGATTGTTGAGAAATTATACATTTGTGTCGCCTCTTGGAAACTCTGGTTGAATAAAATATTATTCGGAACATCTGGTGGCTTACTGTATCTATTTATATTGTATTATCATAGGTGAATTTGGAGGGCTGGCTCAGTGTGACATCTTATGTCGAAAATAATAGTTAATTGTTATTAATAATTCACCGCTCGGTAATTAAAATTAGGGTTCTTCATTTATATATTCGTAACTCGTGTGTAAGTCATTAAAATTGAATTATTTTATTCATTATGCAGGATTTTGAACGCCTTTATTTGAGAGAAATTTAACAAAAATAGTTTTTTGTCGCTTCAGCGTAGCGTTGATTTACTTTTTAGTGGGGAGTGTTGTGACGTCCTAAAAATAAATAATTTGAAAGTGACGATTTCTTCAGTTTGTTCATGCTCAGTTTCACTGTTTTATTTATAATATAAGAGAAAATTATGATTCATATGACATACATAGAAAACAATAATTAAATTTAATCAATATTTCATAGCTTAATAATTGTAATCAAGTCCCGTTTTCATGCATTTATTAAACTCACGGTTAATATTTTATTAAGTTTTACTCGCTGTCACGTACATACATGGTTTTTAATAAATTAATCCGTCGAAATAAAACAAATCGATGTTGTTGAGACAGTTGGATTATTTTTTAGGCAATTTGTAAATTTGACAAAACAGAAAGAATATAATGCTTTATTACTATATACCTGATAAGTACAAAGATGTGCTTGACAAATAAGCGACGATTTCTTAATTATATTTTTATCTAAGAACTGCTAGAATAGAATACGATAGTTTCATAATCTACAAAAAATGAATAATTAACTTCAAACACCACTTCTTGAAACTCACAGAAACGAATAGCGAGAAACTTAAAACATTGAAAGGTCCCGTTTCCAAAAACAACGGTTTCTGGCTCCTCATAATCATAAGAATTAATTCCTTCCTCAAATTCGGATCAGCGTCGTACCACCTGGAGTTATAAGCAGCTTCTGCGATCGAAGTAGACTGAAACACCCTCCAGATTATATATTTTTACACAATATTGTCACAATTACAGCATCTATCATAATCTGTCCCGATAGACACGCAAGGAAAACTGATTCAATCCATCCAGCGATGTGCAGCATAGCTCCAAGATCAAGTTGCTAAAACCACTAAAACTTAAGTCGTCTAAAGCACACACCTTACCTTCAGTATCTGGTTTTCCAAACAGCCAAAAATTATTCCACCAGTGGCCAAAAACGTAAACATTTCGTTAATAAAGCAACCATTAACTCTTTCAGAGTAACTAATAATAAGATTGTGGTATTGGATGCAGCGATTAAGTCTTTTCCTATCGGCTTCAAAATTTCCCTCAAAACAACTCAAAAGCATCGAATTGAGTTGATCGATTCGCAACTTGATGTTACAAGCGATTTCGAAACTTTGCAAAGCGACGAACATGATGCCTCTGTCTACGGTTACGTAGAAACCGAAGATGTACAACATAACCAAAACAAGGGTCAACCAGTGGTCGGTGTCAAAGGGCGTCCAAACAGGTGTTAAAGTTCCACAAACCTCGCCAATCTTTCTCTCTCTTCTACATTTCGGAATGTTGATGATTTTAACGCCGTTGTAGATCAAGGTTGCGTTTACTGCATAGTAGAAGATAAATGTGACGAAATAGCCCAGTTTTTTGTTCATGGTGTCGAAAAGAGGAGGCTTGCTGAAGGTTCGAAAATCGCTCATGTCAAGCAGTAGAGACGCTAATTCTTTCTGCTTGACCACGTACATCGTCATCATGCCAACGTAGCTGAAGAAAGCTGTAAAGATCGCGAAATCTTCACTCACGTCGACTGTGCCTTCTGAAATTTATACTCGAATTAGAAAATGGGGGGTCTAGGTGTGGGTTTACCTTGAAGCGAGAGCAGTAGGTGCGAAAAAAGCACCAGCCAGTTTGGGATGGCGAAAAATACGATGAATAATAACTGCTTGATGTAGAAACGTTTGGATGGGTTGAATTCTTCATTTTCGTCGGGCCAAATTAAAGAATATCGTAGAAAGTGGCAACTTAATTTACAAACTTTGATCTCCGGTTGTTGCTTCATTGTTTAGACTAGAAGTGTGTGTGTGGCTGTGTGGCGAGGGTTTATATAGTTGGGAAATTTTCAGTTATGTGTGTGGTGGTAAAATTTTGATCAATAAGATACATTTAAAGTCAACGTAATTTTTTATGAGACGTTTCATCGAAGAAATGAATACTGGAAAAGATAGTTAATAATAAATTCAACCAACTGTATTAGTGAAAACTTTAAAAAAAGACAAACCAAGATAAATAATACAGTGTGAGAAAGAGGAAACGTGAAAGGGCAATTAAAACGACTTTATTCTACATAGGAGATAAATTAACAGGTAACAAAACGGCATTAATAAATTTTTTCACACTCGAGTATTTGAAGAACTCTCCACAGAAATTTCACGTATTTCATAATCTTCGACAAGTGTTGTTGTTGTCGTGATTGGTGCAAAACTACTGCCACTAAACTAAAAAGTAACACTTCACAAATGTCACTGTTGTCTGCTAAAAGATTAAAATCAGTGACAGTATTTTGAGTCAGTATTTCTACCTTCCACATGATGTTGTAGATTTGCTAACTTGTAAAAATTATAAGTTGTGCGAACGATTTTCAGCCATTTTAACACCTTGTGTTGTCTGTCTCCGATAAAACAAATTATTGTTTTCAGAAATATGATACTAAAGACGCAGATCTGCTGCTTCTGCATAGTCATCATGAATTGTTGATTGTCGACGAAATTGTTAGGGGTAGCTTTAATTAACTTTAATTGACTGGACACCTTTCTGTAAGTAGTAATTACCGAAACTGTTCTTCTCTGGGTGAAAAAATCAATTGATAATTTTTTAATGAATTCGTGGTTTTAATTTGAATAAGAAAATAATTTGTGGGTAGTTATAACCAGTCTTGTTTAAAAGGACAATGGACAAGACGTGACTGGCCCACTGGTGAATCTTTAAATAAAAGCAGCTGCTGGTTGAGAACAGTAAGAGCATGCATGTAATATAATAATTATGACTTTGTATTTGACAATTTTAAAATTTATTGTACATTTCTATTTCAGTTAATGAAGAAATCCCAGAAGAGCAATAAGTGAAGCTCAAAAATGCACACGTGAAGTGGTGTTTATATGTGATAATGCAGGTAATGGATTATTAATTTTTTAGCAGAATAATTTGCAAACACTCAAACACAAGATGCAATTACTCGTTTACTAATAATAATTAAATCTTATTCTGTCGTATTATAATTATAAATGAAATTGTATGTGTTTTAACACATTTTGTGACAGGTGAGTAAAAAAATATATGTAGTTTTATAATATTATTTTCGTCAATCATCAACATCTTCAGGTGGTGTTTTCTTGTTGTCAAAGCTGTCACTTATATTTATTTTACTTTGTGGTAGGGAGTGTTGTGACGAACCTTTATTTCGTAGGACAGCTGGGTTTTTTAAGCAATAATAGGAAAATTGTATTTTAGTAAAATAAAAAAACAACCTAATGCCTTATTATTTATTTATTAAGTACAAATCCAGGACAGGTAAGTGAAGATTTTATTATTGCAGTTATTCCGTTTCTATCTCAGGAGTGCCAAAATAGAATACGACAGTTTCATAATCTAAAAAAAGTCATAATTTTTAACCACTTCTTTTGGAAAACTTACAGAAACGAATAGCGAAAAACTCAGAACATTGAAAGGTCCCGTTTCTAGGAACAACGGTTTCTGACTCCTCTTGATAATAAGAACCAAGTCTTTCCTGACATCGGGGTCCGCTTTATACCATTTCGAGTTATAGGCGGCTTGCCCTACCGACGTCGACTGAAACAACTTCTAGAATGTCTACATTTTACAAAATCCACATTACCGAATCTATCAAAATCTGTCCAGAAAGACACGCAATAAAAACTGCTTCGATCCAGCCAGCTATATGCAGCATAGCTCCAACGTTAAGTTGCTAAAAACACTAAAATTGATTTCATCAAACTTAACACACCTTACCCTCAAAATCTGATTTTCCAAACAAGCACAAATTATTCCAGTCGTGGCCAAAAACGTAAACATTTCGTTAATAAAACAACTATTGAATCGTTCACACAAGCTACAATGTCTCACTTATTAAAAAAAAAACACTACGTAACAAAAATACTCAATGAGAAGACTGTGATAGCGGATGCACCCTCTAAGTCTCTTCTTATCTCCATCCCGATTTCCTTCAAAACAACTCAAAAGCATCGAATTGAGGTGGTCGATTCGCAGCTTTATGTTACAGGCGATTTCGAAACATTGCAGCGAGACGAACATGTTCACCCTGTCCACTGTTACAAAAAAACCAAACACGTAAGACACCATCAGGGTAAAGGTAATCCAATGGTCGGTGTCAAACGGGGTCCACACAGGTGTTAAAGTCCCACAAGTCTCACGAATCTTCCTCATTCTTCTACAATTCGGGATCTCGATGATTTTAAGCGCGTTGTAAATCAAAGTTGCGTTAATCCCGAAGTAAAAAATAAATTTCGAGAGGTACTTTAGTTTCTTGTTTACGGTGTCGAAGCGAGGGGGTTTGTTGTAGGTGCGAAAGTCGCTCAGGTCTAGCAAAAGGGATGCTAGTTGTTTTTGTTTGGACACGTACATGGCCATCATGCCAACGTAGCTGAAGAAAGCTGTGAAAATTGCCAAGTCCTCGCTGACGTCGACTGTGCCTTCTGAAATTTAGTCGAATTAAGTACATAGAATTGAAAATAATAAGTGTGGAGGAAGTTTTACCTTGAAGGGAGAGCACTAGGTGCGAAAAAAGTAGCAACCAGTTTGGAATGGCTAGAAATAATGCAAATAAACATTGCTTGATGTAGAGTCGTTTCGATGGTTTGAATTCTTCATTTTTGTTTGGCCAGATTAGAGAGTATTTGAGAAAGTGGCAACTCAGTTTACAAACTTGGATCTCAGGTTGTTGCTTCATTGTAGTTCGAGGGTTGAAGTTTTTGTGACTGGAGGTGAAATTTGCAGCGACTTATATATCTACGTTTGAGAATTTTTTTAAGGAACATTAATCAAAAATTGATAATAGTCGTCAATATGAAAAAAAAAAAATCTCAGTTCATACCAATAAAAAACAAACTTTAACAAAGAAACTAAAATCTCTGCGTCATAATTTAGGGTAAAAACAATGAAAAATTGATTGTTTTATTCATGTTTTAATGTGTCACAAAAAACTCAAAACAAACTTCTAAACTTATTTTATTGATATTTTTAGTACCCTAGAAATTTAATTCATAGTAAAATTCCCACGAAAACTACTTACTTGAAAGGCTAACATTATGAAATAATGTGACAATATGATCAGTTCGAAAACATAAAGCACTTTGAGAGTGAGTTTGATCTTTGGCGGGGAGTGTTGTGGCGGTCTCCTTATTATATAAATACGTACTTTATTAATAAATTATTATAAAATAGGGAGTTCCGTGCCTGAACACTAACTTCTGACATATGCAATATTTCACATGTTTTTGAAAGTTAAATAAGAATGCAACTGTTAACTTTGCATAATGGGAGTTTAATATTTGATGTAGTTTACAGAGTTGAGGGCAAGAAAAATAAAACTATGTGATTGTGTTTGTGTTACGGGTAAATCGATCTTAACTGCCTTGCCTATATTCACTCAGAAACATATCAGGTATGAATAAAAGATCCTATACCCGATTTAACTAACAACTGAAACCATCAATTTCAAACACAAAATTCTCCATATTTCAGCAACATCATTCGGTTCTTTTCCACTGAATTATTTCAAGAATTCTCCACCACAAGTCCAAATCGTTTAAAAACTCCAACAAGTCTTGTGGTTGATGCAAAATTACTGTCATTAAACTGCAAAGAAACACCTCGGAAAGGTCACCTTTACCTAAAAAGAACAAAAGTCACTGTTATTCACAAATTGAGCACTGGACTTACGACAAAATCTCCGAGTTTTGTGAAAACATGTCAACAGTACTGGCAGGGTATATTTGTCTCGAATAAAATAAATTACGATTTTCAAAAGTATGACGACGTAGACCTGCTGTTGCTGCTTTGTCATCATGAACAAGTTCTGATTGTCACTGAAATTGTTCGTAGGGTCGTTAATATATCGTCAGGCAGCTTTAATTAATTTTAATTGAGTAGACACTTTTCTCTAGGTAGTAATTACCGAAATTGTTCTTTTCAGGGCGAAAAAATCAATTGATAATTTTTTAATGAACTCGTGGTTTAATTTGAATAAGGAAACTCGTGGTTGGTTGTGGTTAAGAGTGAAGATTTGTGAGTATCCATTTAGCTTTAAAACGCAGTGAACGAAAACTTCATAAAATAGTGTGACAGTTCGTCACTGTCCAGTTTTTTCTTGCAAGTTTTTTTAGGTATCCGTAAAAATGAACACTTCTTTTAGACTTTATTCCATAGATTATAAGGTCAGGTTTATCTATACGTTTTCTTTTTTAAGGAAGTTCTCAGTAATAAATCAGGAAGTTTCGAGTTGGTCTCATTGTGTAATAGTCAGTTTACTTTCAAGTGGGGAGTGTTGTGGTGGCATTTTTCTTGTATACACACAGAGATCATTAGTGAATGAGTACAACGTATAAAAAATAATAATAAATATAAAAAAAAACAAATCGATGATCCTTCTTATCTTCCAAACACCTTTCACTTACTTGATGCCATCAAAAGTGTTAAATATGAGTAAGCCGTTTTAAAAATCTACAAAAAACGAATCACCGTTATCCTTCGAACCTTCGACCTACCGTTAAAATAAAGACGTTCGAGATTTCAGCAAAAGGCCCTGCATGAATAGTGATAGGTTTTTGAGCCCTTTTGAGAATAGTGATGAGGTCTCTTTGAAACTTGTAGTCTCTGTCGTACCACTTACTATTGTAGACTTCTTCACCTATCAAAATCGACTGAAAAACCATGCTCTATCAATGACAAACTTATTTTCATATCTTACCCCATCGTACAACCTCTGAGCCGAAAGACTCGAAAAAATCGCCGCACAAACCCACACAACGAACAAAGAAATGGTCTTAATCGACATCCCCACCGTCAGAATACTAAAACCCATAATCCCAAAAAGAACCCCCGAAAACAAAACGTGAACAAACAAACACCGTTTGTAGATTTTGTCGACGTCGTGTGCTAATCTAAAAGCTCGGATTATCACAAAGTAAACAAAACTTAAAGCAGTACTCGAAAATGTGATTGTGGTACTCCAGACACCTCGATACTTGTTGTTTCCTCGATTCCTCGTTCTCTGTTTCAATAGCTTCCTTAATCATAGTTCGCAAGTGCCAAATTCTGACTAAAACGTGTTCCATTGTTCCTACAATAAGAAATGAAATAGCGGCCGAGCCTTCGTACGTCCAATAAATCGAATAAGTTTGCCACATGTAGAAGAGTTGCTTGTTGGGGAATTCCTCGATGTTGAAAGGCATCCAGGACGCAGTGACTAACCCACAAATGTCTTTAAAGTGTCGAGCTTCGTTCTGGCGTTCACAGAAATGTCGGGTTAAAATAGGCTCGAAGAAATAAGCGGTGACTACAGTGTTCAAGCCCATTTTGTAAGCTAAAGCTACGTATTTGAGTTTGATTGAGTGTTCGTCGAAATCTGGGGGTTTCCCGAAGGCGTCAAATTTGGAAAGTTTGAGGTACAAGCGTGCTGCTACTCGCTGCAGAGGCACGTAGACGATGATGTAGTAGTAGACCCCGATTTGGGCGGTGACGGTGATTAAGTCTTCAGCGACGTGGTAGAACGATCTGTCTATATTTTTTATATAAGATGATAGTAAACGTTTAGCGTACTTACTGGGTATTGACACTAGGGATAGGTGTAAAACACTTCCGACAAGGTTGACGATTGTAGTGAACATTACTATTACAAATTTGACGTAGAAGGAGACTGGAGGATCGAGTTCTTCGTCTCGTTTTGGCCAAATTTGACAAAAGTGCATAAAATCGAGAGTTTTTCGCATTACTGTAATGCTCATGTTTGTGTTGTGAGTGTTGTGATGAACACACAACATAAAGGAGAAATGGATACTTAAAATAATCATATGGGTTTATATATTCATTCTATATATATTAATAGTTGTCACATGTGTTGAAATCTCAACACTCGCTCTATTGTAGGTGTGTTTCATTTTAAATTAATGTTAATAAATAGGGATAACTTCAACCTAGCGTTATCAAAATAATAGTTATTAACATTTAAGTGTGTTTTAGTGTGTTCCAATTGAATATATGTATTACGAAGACGTAATCAAGATCGATAAGAGTGGCTTCGTAAATTATTAGCATTCTTCAAGACGTGTAATTGCATTTTTACTTTTTATTGGGGAGTGTTGTGACGACCACTATTTTTGAAAGTGTTTATAAATCATAATAAGAACAAAGTTAGGTGATAAATGACTGTAGCTGAGTTTCCTGTCAGGTGTGTTACCGCAGCCGCTTTCATCTAAGCAAAGCGAGAATCGAATAAGACATTTTCATAACCTGAAACATAAAATAAGTAAGCTTTGAACACTATTTTTAGATCGTACAGAGACAAACAAAGCAAAACTCAAGACATTGAACGCGCCAGTATTTATAAATAGCGCTTTCTGACTTCTCATGATGACAAGAGCTAAGTCTTTTCTCAAACAGGCGTCTGCATCATACCACTTGGAATTATACGCAGCCTCTCCTACGGAAGTCGACTAAAAATCGATTAGTGGAAGTACATCAGATGGTTGTGTTTACCGAATCTATTAAAATCTGCCCAGAAACGCATGCAAGAAAAAGCGATCCAGCCCAACCACAAATGTGAAGAATGGCACCAACGTTGTGTTGCTAAAACCCACTAAAATTTCTTAAAAAAAAAAAAAATCGCACGTCTTACCTGAATAATTTGATTTTCTAAGCAAGCACAAATCGTTCCAGTTAAGACAAGAAAAGTAAACATTTGGTTCATGTAACAGTCGTTAAATCTTTCACAATATCTACAACGTTTGCTTGAATTTATCGAACTCGATAATTTAGTCAATTACTTAATAAGAGCGCTGTGGTAGTAGATACATGCGTTAAGTCTTCTCCTGGCTAGATTTCGATCGTTAAAACAACACAACAGCATCAAATTGAGTTGGTCGATTCTCAGCTTTATGTTGCATGCGATTTCGAAAACTTGCAGGGTGATGCATAAAACTCCTCTGTCTATAGTTGCGACGAAAAAGAATACGTAAATTATGAGCAAGGTAAGAATGTACCAGTCGTCGGCATCGAAGGGCGTCCAATAGGGTATTAAAACCCCACAAGTTTCTCGAATTTTTCGCGTTTTCCGGCACTCAGATATATCGATGATTTTGATGGAATTGTAAACCGAGGTTCCGAACATGCCGTAGAAAAACACAAATTTGGTGAAATATTCCAGTTTCTTGTTTACTATGTCAAAAAGGGGAGGTTTGCCGTAGGTTTGCGCGTCTCTGAGGTCTAGTAAAAGCGACGCTACTTCTTTCTGTTTAATTACGTAAATGGCCATCATACCGACTAAGCCTAAAAGGGACGAAACCATGGCTAAGTCTTCAGAGAGATCGAGGCCCTCTAGAATTTATTTTATTTTTATTTTTATTGGGGTTATGATTTACCTTCTTGTGAGAGGACTAGATGGATGAAGAGTAGCACTGTATTTGGTGTTAACACAAATATTATGAATAATAACTGGTTGATGTAAAACCATTTCGATGGATCAAGTTCTTCGTTTTTATTAGGCCAAATCAGAGAGTATCGTAAGAAGTGGCAGCTTAATTTGCAGACAGGGATTTCTGATTCTTGGTTCATCGTTCGTTGCGAGTTCAAAGTTATTTGTAGCTGCAAAAGTTGCAACCACATATATATGTCGCGGAAATTACGGTTAATTAGCACTAAGTGGTAGTAAGAAATAATTTTGATCAATAAAGAACTGTACTGTGGGATGCATTTAAGTTCACGTGTTGAATCTTGTATGAGGGTATTCTTGGAAAAACATCTGTCGATTGTAGTGATTAACGTAAACAGGAGAAAAATAAAAAATTGGTCGAAAGTTATTCCGACAGAACTTCCCTCGCTCCTGAAGTACAGTCCAACAAATACTGCTTCCCTTGAAAATTATAAAATTTAATTTTGCGGAATTTTAATTTAAATGTAGAAGATACTACAGTCACAGTGCAAACATCGTCGTTACGATTAATTTATCGTTAAAGAAAGACTCCAATTTTTTTTAACTAAAAAACCTATCTAAAAATTCTGAAAAAATTCAGGGAAGTAGATCTCGACATGCTGATTCCAAAAATATAGCATGTTGATGGACACGGAGCAATAATTTCGAAAAAAACGCTACGAAATGCGAATTTTTGGGAATTTCGAAAAATTTCGATTTTTCAACAGCCGATTCTGGAAAAACGGTTGCAGTTATCAAAGAAACGAGACCGGAAGCGTGTTCTAGAGCTCGAAATCTACAAGAAAATGTATTTAGTTAGGTTTCGAAAATGTGAAATTTTGGCCGAAATTTGAAGAAGGGACCATTGAAAAAATTTCACTTTTAAAAAGTTGTCTAAAAATTCTGAAAAAATTCAGGGACGTAGCTCTCGACATGCTGATTTCAAAAATATAGCATGTTGATGGACACATAGCAACATTTTCGAAAAAATCGCTACGAAATGCGAATTTATGGGAATTTCGAAAAATTTCGATTTTTCAACAGCCGATTCTGGAAAAACGGTTGCAGTTATCAAAGAAACGAGACCGGAAGCGTGTTCTAGAGCTCGAAATATACAAGAAAATGTATTTAGTTAGGTTTCGAAAATGTGAAATTTTGGCCGAAATTTGAAGAAGGGGGGACCATTGGAAAAATTTCACTTTTAAAAAGTTGTCTAAAAATTCTGAAAAAATTCAGGGACGTAGATCTCGACATGCTGATTCCAAAAATATAGCATGTTGATGGACACGGAGTAACATTTTCGTAAAAAACGCTACGAAATGCGAATTTTTGGGAATTTCGAAAAATTTCGATTTTTCAAGGGCCGATTCTGGATAAACGGTTGCAGTTATCAAAGAAACGAGACCGGAAGCGTGTTCTAGAGCTCGAAATCTACAAGAAAATGTATTTAGTTAGGTTTCGAAAATGTGAAATTTTGGCCGAAATTTGAAGAAGGGGGGACCATTGGAAAAATTTCACTTTTACAAAAGTTGTCTAAAAATTCTGAAAAAATTCAGGGACGTAGATCTCGACATGCTGATTCCAAAAATATAGCATGTTGATGGACACGGAGAAATATTTTCGAAAAAAACGCTATGAAACGCGAATTTTTGGGAATTTCGAAAAATTTCGATTTTTCAACAGCCGATTCTGGAAAAACGGTTGCAGTTATCAAAGAAACGAGACCGGAAGCGTGTTCTAGAGCTCGAAATCTACAAGAAAATGTATTTAGTTAGGTTTCGAAAATGTGAAATTTTGGCCGAAATTTGAAGAAGGGGGGACCATTAGAAAAATTTCACTTTTAAAAAGTTGTCTAAAAATTCAGAAAAAATTTAGGGACGTAGCTCTCGACATGCTGATTTCAAAAATATAGCATGTTGATGGATACGGAGCAACATTTTCGAAAGAATCGCTACGAAATGCGAATTTTTGGGAATTTCGAAAAATTTCGATTTTTCAACAGCCGATTCTGGAAAAACGGTTGCAGTTATCAAAGAAACGAGACCGGAAGCGTGTTCTAGAGCTCGAAATCTACAAGAAAATGTATTTAGTTAGGTTTCGAAAATGTGAAATTTTGGCCGAAATTTGAAGAAGGGGGGACCATTAGAAAAATTTCACTTTTAAAAAGTTGTCTAAAAATTCTGAAAAAATTTAGGGACGTAGCTCTCGACATGCTGATTTCAAAAATATAGCATGTTGATAGATACGGAGCAACATTTTCGAAAGAATCGCTACGAAATGCGAATTTTTGGGAATTTCGAAAAATTTCGATTTTTCAACAGCCGATTCTGGAAAAACGGTTGCAGTTATCAAAGAAACGAGACCGGAAGCGTGTTCTAGAGCTCGAAATCTACAAGAAAATGTATTTAGTTAGGTTTCGAAAATGTGAAATTTTGGCCGAAATTTGAAGAAGGGGGGACCATTGGAAAAATTTCACTTTTACAAAAGTTGTATGAAAATTCCGAAAAAATTCAGGGACGTAGATCTCGACATGCTGATTCCAAAAATATAGCATGTTGATGGACACGGAGCAATATTTTCGAGAAAGACGCTACGAAATGCGAATTTTTGGGAATTTCGAAAAATTTCGTTATTTCAAAGACCGATTCTGGAAAAACGGTTGCAGTTATCAAAGAAACGAGACCGGAAACGTGTTCTAGAGCTCGAAATCTACAAGAAATTCTATTTAGTTAGGTTTCGAAAATGTGAAATTTTGGCCGAAATTTGAAGAAGGGGGGACCATTGGAAAAATTTCACTTTTACAAAAGTTGTCTAAAAATTGTGAAAAAATTCAGGGACGTAGATCTCGACATGCTGATTCCAAAAATATAGCATGTTGTTGGACGCGGAGCAATATTTTCGAAAAAAACGCTACGAAACGCGAATTTTTGGGAATTTCGAAAAATTTCGATTTTTCAACAGCCGATTCTGGAAAAACGGTTGCAGTTATCAAAGAAACGAGACCGGAAGCGTGTTCTAGAGCTCGAAATCTACAAGAAAATGTATTTAGTTAGGTTTCGAAAATGTGAAATTTTGGCCGAAATTTGAAGAAGGGGGGACCATTGGAAAAATTTCACTTTTAAAAAGTTGTCTAAAAATTCTGAAAAAATTTAGGGACGTAGCTCTCGACATGCTGATTTCAAAAATATAGCATGTTGATGGACACGGAGCAATATTTCCGAAAAAAACGCTACGAAATGCGAATTTTTGGGAATTTCGAAAAATTTCGATTTTTCAACCAGCGATTCTGGAAAAACGGTTGCAGTTATCAAAGAAACGAGACCGGAAGCGTGTTCTAGAACTCGAAATCTACAAGAAAATGTATTTAGTTAGGTTTCGAAAATGTGAAATTTTGGCCGAAATTTGAAGAAGGGGGGACCATTGGAAAAATTTCACTTTTACAAAAGTTGTCTAAAAATTGTGAAAAAATTCAGGGACGTAGATCTCGACATGCTGATTCCAAAAATATAGCATGTTGATGGACACGGAGCAATATTTTCGAAAAAAACGCTACGAAATGCGAATTTTTGGGAATTTCGAAAAATTTCGATTTTTCAACAGCCGATTCTGGAAAAACGGTTGTAGTTATCATAGAAACGAGACCGGAAGCGTGTTCTAGAGCTCGAAATCTACTAGAAAATGTATTTAGTTAGGTTTCGAAAATGTGAAATTTTGGCCGAAATTTGAAGAAGGGGGGACCATTGGAAAAATTTCACTTTTACAAAAGTTGTCTAAAAATTCTGAAAAAATTCAGGGACGTAGATCTCGACATGCTGATTCCAAAAATATAGCATGTTGACGGACACGGAGCAATATTTTCGAAAAAAACGCTACGAAATGCGAATTTTTGGGAATTTCGAAAAATTTCGATTTTTCAACAGCCGATTCTGGAAAAACGGTTGCAGTTATCAAAGAAACGAGACCGGAAGCGTGTTCTAGAGCTCGAAATCTACAAGAAAATGTATTTAGTTAGGTTTCGAAAATGTGAAATTTTGGCCGAAATTTGAAGAAGGGGGGACCATTGGAAAAATTTCACTTTTACAAAAGTTGTATGAAAATTCCGAAAAAATTCAGGGACGTAGATCTCGACATGCTGATTCCAAAAATATAGCATGTTGATGGACACGGAGCAATATTTTCGAGAAAGACGCTACGAAATGCGAATTTTTGGGAATTTCGAAAAATTTCGTTATTTCAAAGACCGATTCTGGAAAAACGGTTGCAGTTATCAAAGAAACGAGACCGGAAACGTGTTCTAGAGCTCGAAATCTACAAGAAATTCTATTTAGTTAGGTTTCGAAAATGTGAAATTTTGGCCGAAATTTGAAGAAGGGGGGACCATTGGAAAAATTTCACTTTTACAAAAGTTGTCTAAAAATTCTGAAAAAATTTAGGGACGTAGCTCTCGACATGCTGATTTCAAAAATATAGCATGTTGATGGATACGGAGCAACATTTTCGAAAGAATCGCTACGAAATTCGAATTTTTGGGAATTTCGAAAAATTTCGATTTTTCAACAGCCGATTCTGGAAAAACGGTTGCAGTTATCAAAGAAACGAGACCGGAAGCGTGTTCTAGAGCTCGAAATATACAAGAAAATGTATTTAGTTAGGTTTCGAAAATGTGAAATTTTGGCCGAAATTTGAAGAAGGGGGGACCATTGGAAAAATTTCACTTTTACAAAAGTTGTCTAAAAATTGTGAAAAAATTCAGGGACGTAGATCTCGACATGCTGATTCCAAAAATATAGCATGTTGATGGACACGGAGCAATATTTTCGAAAAAAAACGTGACGAAACGCGAATTTTTGGGAATTTCGAAAAATTTCGATTTTTCAACAGCCGATTCTGGAAAAACGGTTGCAGTTATCAAAGAAACGAGACCGGAAGCGTGTTCTAGAGCTCGAAATCTACAAGAAAATGTATTTAGTTAGGTTTCGAAAATGTGAAATTTTGGCCGAAATTTGAAGAAGGGGGGACCATTGGAAAAATTTCACTTTTACAAAAGTTGTCTAAAAATTGTGAAAAAATTCAGGGACGTAGATCTCGACATGCTGATTCCAAAAATATAGCATGTTGATGGACGCGGAGCAATATTTTCGAA